AGCTTCCCTTATTAAATATTCTTAATTAAAATGATCATGAATATACGATGTTTTACTGACACTACGAATAACTCTAGTTTTTTCTTTATCCACTTTTTTTGTAGTTGATTTATGTGATTAATTATCGTCTTCAGATTCTTCAGAGTCTGATGAATCAATAAAATCTGAATCAAAACTATCTTCTTTTATATTTTCTTTTTATTAATAAGACTCATCATCATCAATATTATCTTAATTAAAATATTTGTTATTATTCCAAAAATCATCTTCTTCTGGTAACTCACGTTTCATCAAATAATTCATCTTTTCTCCTCTTTTTTTTCTAAATTCCATTTATTTGATTGCAGGTTCAATGTTTTATTCTTGTTTTTTCTAATTTCTGCTCATTAATTTAATAAAAAAAGAGAGAAAAAATTAATTTATGATTAATAGTATTTTATTATAAAATACAATTAAGACTAAAATGTCTATATATTAGATGAATTAAGTAATCTTTAAGTATTTAATATATAAAAAAAGAAGTATGAGATATTTAATATCATATTAATCAAACCCTATAAATTAAATTATATTATAAAAAATGAATATATACTAATAAAATCAAATCATTAAATCTCCAACTAAAGAAAATTAGAATAGATAATTTGTTATTTTAAAGGAACTTGCAATTGATGCTAATGGAATTATTTATGAAGCAAAAGCAGAATAATCTTGTTATCAAAATAATGTTGCCATTAAATTATATCATAACATTAAAGAACATGAAGAAAAAATGATCGATTGGCTAATTTAATAATAATAGAATAATAATACTTAAATAATAAAAATCTATGAGAAATTTGAATACAACTAAAGAAAATATATAATAATGGAATTAGGTGGTTGTAACTTAAATGATTATTTAATATAAAATAAAACTTTAAGTTATTTTGATAAGTTTAAGATTTATATTTAAGTATTTTAATCATTTTTATAATTAATAGACTTTAAAAGCCATTAAATTTTTGCATGAAAATGAGTATGTTTGTGGAGAAATTAATACTAAAAATTATGTATATTTTCAAAATACTTTTAAACTAACCGGATTTGGATAGAAGAAAAAACTATAAAATAAGTTTCCACAATTTAATTTAGTGTAATCTTCAAAAGATGATGATATTAGATCTTTGATTTATTTGTTTTGTGAAATTTATTTAGGAGAATAATTTTTTAAAGGTTATTATATTATTATTTATTTAAGTATAAAATTAAAAAGAAATAAATAATAAAAAGAATGATTATTTATCTAAGCTAACCAGTATTCAATATCAAGAAATAACAAATTTAATTAAATAATTATTATTAAATCCAGATCAATTAAATATCAATTAAGTAATTGACAAAGATTATAGCCTAAAATAAATCTTTCGAGAGTCAATTTTTAAAGAAGTTTAATAATAATAATTATCATAATTTCAAGGTTAATAAATTAAAGAAATAAACAATTAAAAATAATTGTTTTAGAGTTAAATAAATTTATAAAATTTAAAGAATACAGTCTTATAGGTTCCAACAGAAGAGTTTCCTTAACGTCAATTTATTTTTACTGAAAAGTTGGGAGATGGAGGAGAAGGTGTTGTTTATCTAGGTAAAACAAAAAATGAAACAGTTTATAATACTACTATTGCTATTAAAATATAATAAAAAATTAAAGAAAATGAACTCAAATTTTTGGATGAATTAATTGATTATTAAAATAATAAAGAAAAATAAACTTTTATTAAAAGTAATTTAATTAGAATTTATGAAATATATAAATGGTAAGGTATACATTTAATAGTTATGGAACTTGGAGGATAAAATTTATATGATTATTTAAAAGAGTAAAGTTAATAAACATTCAATTAAAAGTTATAAATATGTTAATAAGTAAGTGTTATATTGAAATAAATTAGATTACTTAAGCAATTTCTTTTCTTCACAAAAAAAAATTGATACATAGAGATATTAAACCAGAAAACTTTATATAATGTGGTAACGTATTCAAATTAATTGATTTTGGTTTAATCAAATTAAAAGACTAAGATATAAGACTTACAAAAATGGTAGGAACTCCACTTTATCAGGCTGTTGAGATAATTAATGGATCTGAATATTATTCATTTCCTGTTGATGTTTGGTCTTTAGGATGTCTATTTTATGAGATATTCAGATATGCACCTTTATTTAATTGTATTGTATTTATTTCATTTCAAGTTAATACTATAGATTAAATTAAATAAGCAATTTTCAAATATTGCTAAAATTAGTAAGAAATCCATAATTAAATTGATTAATTAGAAATCAAATAGGAATTTAAATATCTAATAAAATAAATGGTTGATCCAATACCATAAAAGAGACCAACTATTGATGAAGTTTTAAGATAATTATCGTAAATTAATACTTTTAAATTTATTTAAAAAATTGTACCAGATAATTCAATTAATTTAAAGGTATTACAAAATTAAACTAATGAATAATTAAAATAATAAAAACTAGATGATATTCCTAATAAGCTAATGGATATATTAAAAGATTATTGTTAATTGTAAATGGAAATTTAATACTCCTCTAAAGAAGACTAATTTTCATAAGAATATTAAAAGTTTATTTAAAATATGAAGGATCTAACTATTAAATAGTTGGATGAGCATATAGAAAGTTATTATAAACAAAAATAAATGGCGAATAAATGCAATGATTTATAAGCTTAAGATACAAAATAAGGCTAATCAGAAAAATCTCCTAATCTTATTAATTATAATAATTAAATGTAAACTAGATGCTTAATGGTACCTCCTTCAAATTATCATAAGAATTAAATGGAAATAGAACCTCCTACTTTTGATTCCTCCATAATTACAAAAAAAGAAATTGATAAAATATAAGAATTTAACGGATTATAAGAGTAAAATAATAATTATTGCTTGGTATAATAACTAAATTCTTAGAATAACAATGAATCTTAGAAATAAGGTTGATAATTTCATCAAATTTCAAATTAAAAAAAATTAAAAATATATTATTTTTTTATTTGATTTTAAAATCTAATTGAAGTAAAATCCATTTTATATTAATAATGTCACTATGCACCTTTAAATTATAAGTTTGAATCTTGGCTTATTCAATAAATCTAACTCTTTTCTGATTTAAAGCTTTAAGAATCTAATATTGCATAATGAAACATCAATTTTTCTTGGAAATTCATGATGGACTTCAACAAATTCTTCATCTAATCCTTCAAACTATTTAAATAATAATTAATTGCTAGTATTGTAAAACAAATTAATGTATAAATAAATTTAATAAATAATAATCTATTTAATAAATAATTAATAATAATAGTACTTTTAAAATAATATATATATATCCATCAAATCAAAATCAGAGAGTTCTAATCTTTTCAATCATTAAAGATTAGTTGTACTAATTTACAAAAACTATAGTTTATAAATGCTGATTTTTTTCTTCATTACACCCTCTCGGCTATTTCAATTCTGTAAACTAAAATATTACTAATCTATATTACTTGACCAATCATTTGAATACCATTTCCATTCAGATATTAACCAAATCCTAAAATTAATCCTTTTGTAAAAGTTCCAGTATAATTTGAACCATCATTCCATAAAAAGGTTCCTTCTCCATGAAATAAATTGTTTTTGAATTAACCTTCATATCTAACTATATATATATATTCATACTTGCAGCCATCATTTAATATTAGAATTCCTCTACCCTCTTTTTTACCATTATAAAATTAACCAAAATATTTTGTTCCATCACTTTTTATTTCTTAACCTTCTCCTTATATTGCATTATCAATCCAAAGTCCTATAATATTCTTATTATTATTATACCTTTTACTGTTTTCTTTTAAGATTTAAATATTCCAAATCCATTAGTTCTCCCCTATTTAAATTAACATTCAAAACTAATTTAAAATATGAATATCTAATACCTGTCTCCATTTGCGTAATTCATTCTACAATATCCCTCTAATTAATCATTTTCCCATTATCTAAATATTTTAAATATTCCATACCCTTCTAATAAATTTCCTGCTTTTGACCATATTTATATTCCTTCTCCTTATTTTTATAAATTTTCCATTATTCCATAATAAATGCTATCATCATTTTGTTTTATCAACTGATAATTTGTTTTTGGAATTAAACTGCCCAACTTTTATTTTAAATGTTGTGGTAACTCTCTAATTATTTCTAAGAGTCTTGAATCCAAAGCAGGACTACTTTGTCTAGAATTGTCATCATCAGCTAAAATTATTTAATATTTTGAGTACTTTCACTTAGTTAAAGATGACTTATCTTTGATATTATTTCTTATTATATTTGCTCATTACTTTAAATATTAAACATTTGAGTTTATGAGAAAAGTTCCAAGATTAATAATTATTAATTAAAAGATAAGGAAAAGAAATATCACTTATTAATTAATAAATTAATGGCATAATTTGGAAATTTTACTTTTCATTCTTACTAGAATACCAATCCAAAATTATAAGTGGCTTACTTACAACTATTCTGACTTTCTACAAACTTTTCTACTTAATATTTTATTATACTATTGATTTAGCGTAAAAAAATATTATGATTTTTAATTCGATTATTGCAAAATTAGAAATTTCAATGACTTAAAGTATAAGAACCTTAAATATATATGTAAATCCACAATTAAACTATAAAAGAATTGAAGAAATAATGATATTTGATTTAAGAAACATAAAAACTTATATGTATAAACATAAATAAGGAATCCTTAAAAATATAAATTAACAATCAAATACTATAGTTTAGAATATTTAATGTTAAAGTTGATTATATTTAAAATAATTTAATGAACATGAAATAATGGTGATCAAAATTAGAGGATGATAAAACACAAATTAATATAAAGAATAAAAATAATTCGACATTCTATATATTTTTTCAAAATATTAATTAATTATATTATTATTCATGATTGTAAATCCATTTGATGTTGATATTCCAGAAGCCTGGAAAAATGAAATAATTTATTAGAAATACATAGCTTATCAAGCTTTAAGATAAACTACAAAAACTCTAAATAATATTCAAAATTAAATGTTAAACCAAGACGATTTTATTTACAGAGATATATTATTCAAAGGTTAATTACCATCTGAATAGTGTGATACATATTTTGATTATATGAAGCAACATTATAAATCTAGAAAACAATTAAATAGCAGTGACTTTTTAAAATAAAGAAGAGAAGAATGTTAAAATAAAAAATTTAATTTTTGGTAAAAATGCACCAAATTACCAATCAATACCAAAGACAAATTAGAGACAAGAAATATAGTTAGAGATATTAAATATTAACATTTATTTGTTCCATAAATTTTATTTCTATCTGGTTCTATTATTATTGCTTATTTATTAAAAATGTATAGAAACCCAATAAAATTTTAATTAATAACTATTGGATTTGGATCATCATTAGGTTATTTTCATGGAGTTTATAATTGTATAATTTAAGTTATATATAGATAGCAATCAAATATTTAATGATATTCCTTATTTACCAGACCCTGAATTGGAGGTAGAACATTAACATATTATGAATTATTGTTTTTCTTTAGATCAAGAGTAAATATTAATTAAATATTATTAGTTTAATTGCAAGATATGTATTTAGTCATGAAAACCTACATAAATGAAAATAAATATATTTTATTTTAAATAAATATACACTCTTAATAAATGATTTGAAATGATATAAGATTTATAATTGAAAATCATTCTCTACTTAAAGTAAAATAATTTTTATTAAAATAAAATGTTTGGTTAATAAATTAATTTATATAAAATTCTATTTAGAATTTAAGAAACAAATTCGATTATTATTAAGTTTTTAGATTAGAGTAAATTGAATTTTTTTGCGGAATTAAAATAAATTCGTTAATATTATTATTATTAATGTGAACAGATCACTTTCTTCCAAGGGAAGTTTATGAGGCCAAAGATCTGACTTAATCTTTGAAGAGTTGAATGACAACATCGATAATAGCATTTTCCTCTAGAGATGAAATAGAATGTTACCTTATCTTCTAGCAGTTTCAGAAGCATAGAATTCTCTCTTTTCTTCTAAATCAGCAGTAGCTCCGGCAACTGCATTCAAAGAATCCTTCCATAATTTGAGGGCTTTGGCTTATTAAGCAAGGACAGCAGGGAGTTACTTGAGAAATAGATGTTAATGATACAGTTTCTAATTTTTCAACAAGTGAGGTTCTTCTTTCATGTTCAGAATTTAACCAGGCGACTTCAGCATTGGTGTCTGAGACATATTTAGCAAGAGCAAAAGCAGCATGGATTTCTTATTCTTATAGTGTTGCAAGAGTGGATTCTAATTCACCTTATAAGTCTTATAAGATAGCAAGAACTTATTCTCCAGTGGTTCCTTCTCTTTTAACTTCAGCAAGGGATTGGAATTTTTAAAGTGCATCTTATTAGAAAAGGTGACTATATGCAGATAATTTATCAGCAATTGTTTAAGCCTTTTCGACAAGTTCGACTCCAGCATTATTAGTGAGAAAACCTGCAACATCTTATTCCAAGAGTTAAACAACACCAATAGCATCAGCATGATCAGCAAGAGACTTAACAAAAAGACCATTGGCCCAACATCTTTAATCTTAAAGTTGAGCATTTCTTCTTTCGATTTCAGCAAGTCTTGATTCAGCCCAAGCTAACCATGAATATCCATCCTAAGAATATATATCGAGTATACTCTGATTTAGGCTTCAACATCTGTTCTGACAACACCTAGAGCTTCCCATTATTATTTGTTAAGTGAAGCAACATTTGTCAAGTCACCAATAACTTAAGAGAAGATTTCTAAAATTATATAAGAGTATGAAGATACCTTCGTCTGTGTTATTTTTTTTATCAGCAGCAGCTTGGACATTAACATTCTCTGTTTTAAGATCTCGCAAAAGGTTGTATACTGATTCGACAGCGTCATTTCCTCTTGTTCCTGCCTAAAGGAGGACAGCAAATTTGTTTGTATCTAAAGCAAATACGGCAGCCACTAAGCAAATTATGGTAAGAGCTCTCATAATTTTAATTTTTAATATTTTCAAAAACGGGCACAATATTCATGCTTTTAATAATTAATCATTTTATATTCTTAAATCATCAACTTATTTACAATTTTCCTAATATTCTTAAAAGAAATCCTATTTAAAAGTCTATTAATTCATTTATTATAATCAAGATTTCAATTCATATTTTGCCAAAAATTTATTATTTATCTTATTAATTATGATGATTCATCTAATAAGTATATTTTTGCATGGGTTTAAATTTTTGAGATAAAATTTGATCTTGGGCTATTGTTTATTCTCTTTTTTTAATTTTAAAATTAATTTCCTTTCACCAATAATTCACCATAATTATTTTCTTAATTCTATTTTATTAATACTGAAAATCATAAATATTATTTAGAAAAATTATTAACTATTCTATTATGATAAGTAAATCTTTTGAAGTTGTTCTTTTTTATGTTTGATTTGGTAGGTTACATGATTCTTATCATAAAATAGACATCTCATTAAATCATATGGAAAATTTAAATCAACTTAATGTATCATTTCACTTTTTGCTATTATTTTCCCATTATCGTTTAATATTAATATATATATGAAATAAAATAATTATAAAACATCTTAAGTCGATCTTTCTAGTATTGCTGAATAATCAAATACTCAATCAGATGTAGAATTAGAGCAGATAGACATGGCTAAAATGAATTGTTATGATTATTATACAGCTAAGGATCCTTTATCCACTCAAGTCTTCTAAATTGAAGGGGAGCTTCATTTTAAAGAGATTTTTAATCGCTTGTTGAAGAATGTCCTCGAAAAAGCATAAGAAAATGAAATTTTAAGAAAATTGCCTAATGTCTCTACTTCTAATTCATTATATCTTTTGGTAATGCCTTTAGTTTAGGTATTCTATAAACCTGAAAATCATATTAGAGATATTCAAAGTGGTGGGTTAGGTGAGGACTTTGAACCTGTACATAATTTAATTATTTTAAGTTACACATTTAGCATGAATAATGGCTGACATCTAAAATTAATATCTAAATAAAACCTGAAAATAGGCCGAACACTTGTTAAACATCCAGTCCTATGATATTTGCAAAATCTAAATTTTATGTATTTCAATCATTAAATTTAGGATTAAACATAATCTATGAAAGAAAAGAAATAATTAGATCCTATGCCTATAGATTTAGTTGATCCATTAGATATCAGTATCACAGAAGAGTAATTAAGAAATGAAAAAGAAAAGTAAATATAGGAAAAATTAGAATTAAATGAGGCAGAAAAAAGAAGAAAACTTAAAGAAGAAAAAGAAGAATAATTAAAATATGAATTGATGGCAAAAGATAAAAAATCTAAATAATATACATATGATTATGATGGCAAATTGATATCTGTTAATCCAGCTAAAGGAATTAAATTGCCACCTCCTGCTTCAACTTTGGCGTACAATTCAATATTTTTTAAGATCCAAATTTGAAGAAGATCTAGCTGCCAAAATAAATCCAAAAAAAAAATATAATAAAGTTCCTTATAATATTAAAAAAAATGATGACGAGAAGGATAAGGAAAAGGATACATTAAAATTTAATTAAATAGCTCCTTTAGTTGTAGAAAATATGCATTTATAACCAGGAATTGTAGTTATTCATGAAGGTAGAATCAAAGAGGGTAACAGACCGGCAAAGGATTCAATTATGATAGATTCAAGAGACTGACACAGTAATCAAACATTTAATTGGGGGTTATAAAGTAATCTTAATTAATGAGCAAATAGAATCAACTCAACTAAAATATTTGAACAATTAGCACAAGCCTTTTTAGAAGATCCTGAAGATTTCCAAAAAATTATTCATTAACAAACATCAAAAAGCTCTTAAGAAAACACTTTAAAAGGAATTAAAAATCCAGTTGATTAATTTAATTTATCCTTACATAAAAATACTCTTGTAATCCGAGACCAACAATATGAAATTGGGATAAATTATGAAAAATTGAAAACTCATAAAGCTACTTCAAGGTAATGGTTAAAATCATTTTAGAGATTTAAAATCTTCTATCGGTTCCAAAACCAATAGGCCAAGAGAAAGAAAAATGTAATCAGAATAAACCACTCTACCTACAGTGAGGAGCCAAAGAACCTTTAAATTATGATCACTTTTTTCATATATAATATATTGAAAATTTTCTTGATTATATATTTTTATTATTATTATGGAATTATTAAGAGATCCATCCAATGATCGTGTTGTAAAAACTTTGAAGCCACCTCCTCATCGTCCTCTCTCCCATTAACTTATGTTTCCAGAAAAATTAAAAAGTAAGAGACTTTAATAGTATTAGATAAACCTGACTGGAGAATATTATTAGATCATTTATCTAAAGAGGGAAGAATTGCAAAAGATGATCTTATCAAATTAGTTTCAGAATGCAATAAAATATTGAGTAAAATTTGCTTAAAACAACAGAAAATGAGGGAAATCTCATATATTTGCATGATCCCTTAACAGTTGTTGGCGACATTCATGGCCAATATTATGATTTGGTTAAAATGTTTGATGTCGGAGGCAATATAGAAACTACCAAATATTTATTTTTGGGCGATTTTGTAGACAGAGGCTCATTTTCCATAGAAGTGATCGTCCTAGTATATGCAATTAAGATCAACTTTCCAAATACAATTTTTTTCCTGAGAGGAAATCATGAATGTAGACAGCTAACAAGCTTTTTCAATTTTAAGGACGAATGTATACAAAAAAAAACCCTCTCATCAAGGCCTCTATAAGTATGACCAAGAAACCTACGATTTTCTGATGGACTCCTTCGATCTCTTTCCCCTTGCCTGTGTAGTTAATAACAAGTTTCTAGCTATCCATGGAGGTATCTCTCCAGATCTAAAAACGGTAACAAGGTTCTGTATTTTCGATTCTAGCTTGAGGATATCAAAAAAATTGATAGATACCATGAACCACCAAGAAGTGGACTCTTTTGTGATATTTTATGGAGCGATCCAGTTGATAATGATCAAGGATCATTGGAAAATGGATGGAGAGGAAATGAAGTAAGAGGTTGCTCATGGTTTTTTGGAGTCGATGCAGTCCATAGATTTTTACAAAGAAATAATCTTATTTCTGTAATCAGAGCTCATGAAGCCCAATTAGAAGGGTATAAAATGCACAGATGGAAAGGGAGTTCAGATTTTCCAGTCGTAATTACTATATTTTCAGCTCCTAATTATTGCGATATATATAAGAATAAAGGAGCAGTGATCAAATTTGAAAACAACACTTTAAATATTTAATAATTTAAAGATACGCCACATCCATACTTGTTACCTAATTTCATGGATGTCTTTTCTTGGTCAATACCTTTTGTTACAGAAAAAGGTAAACTCATAATACTTCAATTTTTAGTAACTGAAATGCTATACATGCTACTAAAACATGAAGATTAAGATCAAGAGAGTGAAGATGAAAAAATTAACCAGCAGGATATCGAAAAATTTAAACAAATCACTTAATCTGAAAAAACAAAAGTTTTTGAAAAAAATAAATCCCTTCAAAAATAACTCTCTAAAAGTGGAAAAGAAAAACTTAGATCTAGGCTAAAGTTTGTAGCTACCATGATGAAAATGCAAAAAACTCTAAGGTCTTCAAATATATTTGTATTTTCAGAGAAGAAAACGAAAGTATCGTTTTACTTAAAGGTGCCTGTCCAGACAAAAGATTGCCGAAAGGATTGCTGCTCCAAGGCAAAGAAGCAATTACTGATGGTATATCATCATTTTATTTCAGCTTTATAAGAATTTAATTATATGAAATTAGCAGATAGCATTAACGAAAAGATGCCTAACATTTAAATTCCATAACAGTCCATTTAAATAAAAAAACCAGGGCAATCTTCAAAAAAAAAATGAATTTTTATTTAGATGCAGAATTAAAAACAAAAAATGATTGTTATTTCAATCTTTTTGAATCCATTATTTATTTATAATTTTTCTAAAGTCTTTGTGATTGTTAAATAAAATGGTTGGTTGTTTAAGTCCTTTGTTAGTTTCAAATTGAAAAATATATCTTTGATTAATGGATTAATATCAAATTTTAATAATTTTTTTTGTATAAAGATTTAAATATACTGTTAATTTTATACTGATCTATTTAAATTATGTTAAAAATAATCAAATTCTTCTGAAAATAAAAAATTTTTGTTAGATTGTTAAAGTAAGATTATTATTATATTATTATTCTATCATTATTATATCCAACATTTTTATTCTCCTTCTTTAATCATATAAAATAATTTAACATTATAAGTTTTGTTTATAGATAAAATATTAAATGCACATACTTGGATTTGTTTACAATCTTTTGAATATTAACTAATTTCACATTATAAAATATTGAAAATAATACCTTTATGAATAAATTTCAATATAATCTATTTAATAAGAAATAGCTTATATTATTGGATATTTCATTAATTATAATAATAAATGTATCTTTAATATTAATAAGATTTTTTGAAATATTTTCAACCATCCTGTTTATTTAATAATTGAATTAACTTTTATTGTTTAATTATTTTATGTCGAAATGTTANGAAAAAGGTAAACTCATAATACTTCAATTTTTAGTAACTGAAATGCTATACATGCTACTAAAACATGAAGATTAAGATCAAGAGAGTGAAGATGAAAAAATTAACCAGCAGGATATCGAAAAATTTAAACAAATCACTTAATCTGAAAAAACAAAAGTTTTTGAAAAAAATAAATCCCTTCAAAAATAACTCTCTAAAAGTGGAAAAGAAAAACTTAGATCTAGGCTAAAGTTTGTAGCTACCATGATGAAAATGCAAAAAACTCTAAGGTCTTCAAATATATTTGTATTTTCAGAGAAGAAAACGAAAGTATCGTTTTACTTAAAGGTGCCTGTCCAGACAAAAGATTGCCGAAAGGATTGCTGCTCCAAGGCAAAGAAGCAATTACTGATGGTATATCATCATTTTATTTCAGCTTTATAAGAATTTAATTATATGAAATTAGCAGATAGCATTAACGAAAAGATGCCTAACATTTAAATTCCATAACAGTCCATTTAAATAAAAAAACCAGGGCAATCTTCAAAAAAAAAATGAATTTTTATTTAGATGCAGAATTAAAAACAAAAAATGATTGTTATTTCAATCTTTTTGAATCCATTATTTATTTATAATTTTTCTAAAGTCTTTGTGATTGTTAAATAAAATGGTTGGTTGTTTAAGTCCTTTGTTAGTTTCAAATTGAAAAATATATCTTTGATTAATGGATTAATATCAAATTTTAATAATTTTTTTTGTATAAAGATTTAAATATACTGTTAATTTTATACTGATCTATTTAAATTATGTTAAAAATAATCAAATTCTTCTGAAAATAAAAAATTTTTGTTAGATTGTTAAAGTAAGATTATTATTATATTATTATTCTATCATTATTATATCCAACATTTTTATTCTCCTTCTTTAATCATATAAAATAATTTAACATTATAAGTTTTGTTTATAGATAAAATATTAAATGCACATACTTGGATTTGTTTACAATCTTTTGAATATTAACTAATTTCACATTATAAAATATTGAAAATAATACCTTTATGAATAAATTTCAATATAATCTATTTAATAAGAAATAGCTTATATTATTGGATATTTCATTAATTATAATAATAAATGTATCTTTAATATTAATAAGATTTTTTGAAATATTTTCAACCATCCTGTTTATTTAATAATTGAATTAACTTTTATTGTTTAATTATTTTATGTCGAAATGTTATTATCAAATATTTATTTTATAATTATAATCCTACAATAATATCAAGAATCATTTTAAAACATGACAATACTTCTTAACTACATTATATATTAAATAGCATATTAAATTAATAATTATCTTATAATTTAAATATTCAATTCATTTTATATTTTATAATTATCTAATAAAGTTATTTCGGGTCGAAATAATATTCATAATCTATTAATTTCTTTATTATTTTTGAATAATTTCGCATATGATTAGGAAAAAAACCAAAAACACATGAAAGTATTAAAATTGTTATAATCTCAAAAAACTTAAAGTTTATTAATAATTCAATAATTCTTATAAGCTTTCACTATTAAGAAATTTAGTATTCGAGAAAATGGTTTTATAAATTATAATGACATAAGTTAGTACGAATATATAAATTAGATCTGATGGAACATCTTGAGATTTTTATTAGATATCTTTTTTTCAACTATTTATTTTATTTTTCTAGATAAAGAAATAATGTTCTAAATTCTATTACTTTTACAAAAAGGTTAACAAATAATAATGATGGGGATTGAAATATTGATGAATTACAATTGCAACAATTTCTAATACTTATTCTCAAACTATGGTTCTAAAAAGATTAGAAGGCCTTTTCAAAATTCTAAATTTAATAATCGATCAAACAGAGAATTGGATACCATTGAACCATAATTTTAAAATTTTGAATGGATTATAATTAAATTGCTCATCATGTCTACTTTTAATTTCTTTAAAAAGACCCTTTAGCCTTTCTTTTCTTTTCAACAGTTTCCCAACCATCGCTATCTTCATCATCATTTATTTATTATTATTATTATTATTATTGCTATGACTGTTATTCTTTTAGTTGTTATTGTTACTAAGAGACTACTGGTGGATTACCCTTGAATAAATCGAATAAGATACTTTAGCTTTAGAGTTGATGAAAGTAGGAATGGATTCTTCAACTTTAATTTATTTTTATTATTCGTTGACAACTTATTGAGAAACTGTGTTTGTGTTTCTAGATAGATTGACTTATTTAGAAGGATAAGATTTTTATGTTTCTTAAATTTTTGGTTATGCCTAAGATTCTTCTTTTTAGCTTGATTTAATTGATTCTTATTGTTGCTATTAGAAATAGGCAGTGTGTTCTTATTTTTTGGTATTGGTGAATGTTAGAGATCCAGAATTAGAGTTTAATTGTATATTTTTAGTTTAAATATTAGCTGTTGTTTAGGGTTATGTTTTAGAACTAGAATTAGTGAATAAACCTGCATTATTGGTTGCAGTTTAGATTGGTTAATCTTGTTTAGGTTGTATGTTCATTTTTTTTTATTTTTTAGTTGGCTTAGTCATATCATCCACAGTAGCAATATCAGGGAACTCTTCATTACGAATTTCAATGACGGGCTCATCTTGCTTTTTAAATGAGGCAGCTGTCTTCTTGCCAATACCATTGGTTGGAAGGTCTTTTGGATCATCTGATTGTTACCAACCATCATTTTTAGTTTGTTAAATAGTGGGTTATCTAAATATGAGATATATGAGATACTTTTTTTCTGATTTTTTGGCTACCTCAACTAAATTTGTTTCATCTTATTCTTCATCATGATCAATAGAAGTCTTTGGGTCATCCTTCTTAACAATTGTCATATTCTAAGAATAAAAATTGAAGTCTACTTCAGGTTTAGTTATTTATTTATTGGTTTATTAGGATGTCTTAAGTTTCAGCATTGATTGGTTGATATGAGTAGAGTGAAAAATTTAAAAGGTATTTTTAAAAATATTTAGTAAAGAATACGAGAAGAGTGTTATTTAAATAAAGAAGGAAATACAGACATTTAATGAGTTAATTCGATCCATTTTTAATTCAATATTAAAATATAGATGTAAAAACTAGATATCTTGTCATTCATAGTTGCAATAACAGCTGCTAAGTTTGTTGACATTCATACAACGTTAACTCAAATTAATGCTGACCCATTTGGCATGTTGTATTGTCTGCAATAAAGGCCCATCTCCAAGCCTAGACACCAGCTAATGAAGTTAAAATGTTCTTGAATGCTGTAGGTGCAGGCATAGTTTAAGATTAAAATGATCGTGATCATAATTTTGAGTTGGATACAACTACTAACAACAGAGTAATGGTTTATTAAATATTCAGATAGTTGAGGACTTAGAGAAGGAAATCTTGTATAAAAATTAAATAATTTTAAGTATATAATTAGAATTAAATAGCTGCAAACACATAATAGAGAGATGAAACAATTAAAGCTCTTGCTGTTTCTGAAGAAGACATTAGAGTTACAATTCAAGATATTGCAAATAATGAAGCTACCTATGTTGGAGAAGAGGCAACAAGAAATCAACAACATGAAACCTTCGTTTTTAAAGTTGCTGCTATTGATGCCATTGATGATGCTGCCAAACTTATCTAACATTTAAGTTTAGGTGCCTCATTTGCTTAAATCAAAACCAAATTTGACACACTTCATAAGAAGCTCTCTGATAATACATCTCATTTTGCTCTGTCATAAGTATTATTTAATTTTTATTCTTTAGCCTGTCATTGCAGCTTTGACAGAACTTGCTACTCATGGAGTTAATTAAAAAGCATTAAAAAAAATTGCCCAACTTTTAAGTGAAATCAGATAACAATTAGTCTAAGAAAAGGCTGCCAAGACAGTATAATTATGTTTTCTATAAACTATTTAAGGATATTGAAGAAAGATAAGCAGCTCATTGGGCTGAACAAGATTGGTTGAAAGAAAGGCCTAATTGGAAGTATAAATTCAAGAACAAAAAGATACCATTGAAGATGCTATTTCATGGATTGAATTTCATACATTAGAATTGGAAAATAGTTATGAAAGACTTGCTGGATAATAAGCATGGTTTTCTGTTTAATCATAAATATATGAAACTTAAACAGCTGAAAGGTATCTCCAATATTCTATCATGTAGAACTGCTTAATAAGAAATTGTTGACAGACTCTAAGAACACATTAGTGAAAAATTGTCTACCACTGCTTAATTTATTGCAAGCAGAAATTGATTTCATTAGCCTTTATTAATATTCATGAAAAATATTCCTAAAACCTTTATTTCAATTTTCCATTTTGTTATTTCATTTTACTTTCTCCAAATTTCTTAATATTAATATGACATTCTAAATGATTGTAAAATTTTAATAATAATATTTCCCTTATATCATATTTTAATATATGCCTTTTTAATTTAAGCTATTTGAGAAATAGGTTATTTTTATGCTGTCACACTTTTTAACATTAGAATACAATATGCCTAAACTATTTTAATTGCTCCTTATAATTTATTCAATTACTTAATCAATCTCATATTCATTTTACTATTAATATACATAAGATGAATAATTAAAACATAGCATCACGAAAATTACAATGCTAACAAGACTATACTTATATATTGATAATCCAGAAATTAAATCAGCACTATTTTGGCTGCTCACAGTTGTTCAAAATTTAATATTCATCATGGCTGGTTTTATTGCTTATAAAAATCAATATAAAATGGGTGCTTTACCCTTTTATACTCGAATTATAGCTGTCATTTTCTCATTTTATATCTATTATTTTTCAACAGCATTTTATACTCTAATATTTGAAATTTGCCTTATTAATTCATCTGATTTAGCACAATTTTTAGTTTCTATCATCATAATGATCGAAACACTTATAATTATGATATTAGGAGAACTTGTGTATAGAAGAGGTTTAATATTTAAATCAACTTCTCATTTATATATTAATATGACTACATACTCTTACATAATAAAAATTCTAAAATTAATTTAAATCATATTTTTTTTTTACTTAAAATCATAATTTTTCTCATAAATAATTTAATGTGTAATAAACATCTTAATATAATTTTGTTTTATTGCAGAATAGATTAGGGTCAAAGTATATGCATAAAAAATCTATTCAACTACAATCATTATTTTTAGTTCCATAGGATTAGTACTTTCTTTTGATGTTCTGTTAACTCAATAAACTAATAGTAACAACTATTGGATATTAATATGCATAATTGTAATTAGAATCTTGTTATTTTTTGATGAATTTACATTTGATAAAATATCTAATTATGGAGTGCATGAATTAAAGTATCTTTTTTCGTTTTTAGATTTAAGTAATCAAGAAAAGTCTGTTACTAAACTTTAAATTTTTATGCTTTTCAAAAGTCATTATCAAAATTGTGAAAAAAAATAAAGTTGTTATTGTACAAGACAACCAAAAGATTATTATTCATCATTAATAAAAATTATTGAAAGTAAAATTGAAGAGAAACTACATGGAAAAATTGAAATATCTAGAGATTTAATTTGTACTGATTATGCTTAGATTTTATTTCGAAATTAATAATATGTACAAGCTTAATAACATATTACTAGATTTTTGGCTAAAGAATCGTTTAATTATGAAAAAAACTAAAATCCATTATCTAAAATTACAATATTCTTATTAGAATTTATAAAAGCTGAAGTATTAAATTAAGTATTAATTTAAATGACAGAAAAAATAATTTTATCCAATTAACATAACAAATTACTAAATGAATCCTTAAAATCTTTTGTTTTAAATGAAAATTCTGATTCTTAAATAATGGCGAATTTAAAAAAAATAATTCAAAATAAAATTTAATTTTATTATAATTTTGTTGAACATCAAAATAATTGTTTTGGAAATGTTAATTATGCATTGCATTTTATAAAATAAATTTAATAATTTAAAGAGATGTTGTTAAACAGATATAATCAGTTTCCAAGTATATATAAAATCTAAATTTAGCTAGCAGTAATTAAAATATATTAAAATACTTCTCATTGCATATTCTTAATGATTATATTGATTGTTTTAATATAAACAAAGGCAAAGCTTTTGAAGATGATAAATTCAATTAATTATCAGGATAAATGTATCATAAAATATTTGGAATTAATCCTGCCTATTTTATTACTGAACTAAATTCTGAATTTGATGTGATAATAACTAAGAAATCTTCAAGAGCATTATATTTGTTAGAATAATGGAAGATTATATAATCAGAATAAAAATATCATTAAAACACTGATTTAAATATTTATTTGCCTGAATATGTCTAATTTAAACATAGTAGTTTAATCGAAACATTTTTAAATGATGGATAAAATAAATACTACTAATAATAAAATTTATCATTTTTAAAGCAATAAGATAAAGTAATGTTGCCTATTTAAATAATGATAAGTATGAATTAAACAAATTATGATAAATTCTCCTTTCTTACATTTTTTTATGAATCTTAAGACTATAGATCATATTTAGTAGTAGATAAGCATTTTGAAATCATGAATATAAGTACCAACATTTCAGACAGCTTATCTATGAATGAATCTAAAGGTTATTAATATAATATAACTAAAATAATACCTAATTTTTAATAACTTGTATCCACACATTAACATTAATTTTATAATTAGGAAATTAAGTTGGTCAAGGACTATAATTATTCAAAAATCCCAAGTTCTTTTACTGGTAATATTAAAATTGAGAGAAAATTTGAGAACCAACATAAGTGTTATTTTGTAGAATTAGATACTATAAGAGCAATATCAAAGAAAATTTAAGGAGAGAACTCTCCTATATTTATGTAGTCATTGACTTAATTTCCCGGATCAACTTAGAAGATACTCAACGTAAATAGTGAAATTAATAACTCAGAAGATAAGATGATTCCTTATTTTGATATTGATACTCATCCTATTCCTGAAAATTCATTATGTATAATTTAATAAGATCATATTCGATAAACAATCAATTAAACTGATACAAATTTGGTTTGCACTTTATAAATGGTTGAAATTGGAAAGAGTCACAATGTATTTGAACCGTTATCATAAAAAAGATTATTACATAGTTCAAAGTATTCTCATGATGAAGATATGAAAAAATAGGTAAATAAAATTGCTGAAGATGATGAATTTCTTGAAATCGGATCTACGTCATCAGTTTCTGCAATTAGAAGATCAAAATATTATAAAAAATTTGAAATAATTACAATTTTAATGAAGTCGAAAAAGTAATCTTAGAAAATAATAAAAATGAATAAATTTATTTTTTTATATACAATAGTAATATTCCTAGGATTAATAATTGTAAAATATTTATTTTATTTAATAGCAAATCTTAATGATTGAAAATTTAGAACAGTTTGTAGAGGATATCAAAACATTATCAATAAGATATGATGTTGTAGAACCCTATGAATCTTTTTATGTTTCAAGATTTTCTTAAGTTAATTATAGAGAGTAATTAAGTGGAGGATTTATAAATGCTAGTGTTTATGCTTAATTGACAAAATATCCATTCTCCACTTTTGAGTTCATGTATGAACATTTGAGAGATAGTATGTATAGTGTATTAGAAAGAAGGGAGATTGATTAATTATCTAAGGATTAGTATATAACAATCTATTTTTTGAATAATTCTTATGTGGGTTATAGTAGGAATGTGACTATAAGATCATTATCTAATATCTTGATGAATTATTAATATGATTTTAAGCTGGGATTAACTATTCGTAATGTGGCATTTGATAGTCCATTTTTTTATTTTACAAGTAAGAATTATCTAACAATTAAACATACATTTGATGGTTTAAATAAAATAGTTTTAGATTCCACTTTGTAAAGATCAAATTTAGAAAGAGAAAAATGGTTATCAGTATTACTACCATTTATCATAATAAGTTTTTTGTTATGTATAATAATAATAAATAGTTATCGAGAGTATAATTAAATAATGAATTCAATATTTTAATATTTAATGGATTTGGATCAATAAATATTGGATGATGAAAAAAAGAGACTATAAAAACATTTGAGTATAATTAATAATGAAATAGAGAAAGTAAAAAAGTTTGAATTTGATATTGATGCTATTGATGTTGAACTGGAAGAATCCAATAATTAAATCAATAGAAACAATGCAAAAAGAGATGTTAAAAGATTCAAAATAACTAATAATTATTTAAGGACAACAGCTACAATAGCAATTATTCATAATTTTTTATTCTTGACATTTTATGTAGTGATATTCTTTTTGATAAAGAGATATTTTGAGAAATATGATTAAACTGCTATTATTTTTCAAAGAATTAGTGATCTTGGAGTTGATATACCAACTTTATATGCATAAAGAGAAGTTTTATATAGAAGAAAACTAAGATACTTTTTTTTAACGAATGAAGAAATAGATGGTGTATATGATGTATTTTTTTAGGCATATAATAAAGTGGAGGAGTTTTCTTAATTAAATATAGATTTAAGTTCTATTAATTATTTGTTTGATGAAAATTCAGTCAACTTTTATAAAAGCATTAGTACAGGAAATTTATGTGAATTTTAAACTGATTAATTTAAAGAATTGTCAAATTCTACTTGTGAATTAGCAATGAATGGAAACTTACTTAAAGGATTATCGCAAATCTTACCATATATTTTATACACTTTAAAAACTTAATAATTTGATAGCAAAAATTTTACAATTTTACCTACAAACACAAGACTTGAATTAGAAGGAGCAACAATTATAGGTAATGTTATGTCAACTGTAATATCTGAACTCTATGATAATTTACTAATTTCGTGTTTAAAGCTGATTAATTTCACTTAAATCCCTTGTATCATTTTTTTATTGTTTCAGGTCATTTGTATACTATTTTACATAATAGTTATGAATTAGAAACATAAATAACAATTTTAGGCAATTAAATAATCTATATTTTTATTTCCTAGATAGACATTAATATTTGATGATTAATTTTATAGGAATTTTAGATCAATCATAAAAGATGAGGGAATTTAATAATGAGATTAAATTGTATATTATTTATAATAAAATTTACTTGTGATGTAATTTAACTAAAAATTAATTTTATGTTTAAATGGATTCCCTTATTAGTTTATCTAATTCATTTGTGTTTTGGAGATGAATTGTTATCAGTGCATATCATGTGGAGACATGGAGCAAGAAAACCTTATTTCTGTAATTGGGGTTGTGATGATAAAATGTTATCTTAAATGTCTGAACTGACTCCTGTAGGAATGAGATAACATTATGTTTTAGGATAATGGCTTAGAAAATAATATATAGAAACAGGATTTCTAGATCCTTATTTTAATGAAACATAAATCTATATAGAGAGTAGTAATACAAATAGGTAAGGCTTTTTTTATAACAATAAGAACAATTATGAGTGCATACAGTAATTTATAAGGCATGTTTCCTCAAGGTCCTATAGTTCCAGAAATAGCTAAAGATTTATTATTACCTCCAATGGCTGATGTTAAAGCCCCAGAAGGAATTTAGAATTTCGCTTTACCTAATAAGATTTAGGTTATTCCAATCCATAGTATTTAAGAAGAATTAGACTATGTAATGTACATGTTTTGTCCTGTCTTATGGGATGAAGGGGCTCATAATTTACATACCGATGTATATTATGATATTAACAATCGTTCTTAAGAATTGATTAACAGATTTAATAAAGAACTCAACCAAAATTTAACAAACATAGTGGAACTATATGAATGGAGAGATACCTTTATAAGTAATATATATAATGGAGGTGATAATCCTAAAGAATTAACTCCAGATTTGATGGCAGAATTAGATAAAATTGCAGGACTTGGATTCTTATTATTTTATACATAAGACTATTATCAAGCATCTCTTCTTACAAGTGAATTTTTTAGAACTGTTCTTGATGGTTTTGATGGGATTTTGAATGGAACTTCAAAAATAAAGTATCATGCTTATTCTGCTCATGATTCTAGTATATATGCTTCTTTATATGCATTGAATTTAACAAATGTTGAATGCTATAATCAAAGTTATTTTGGAAAAGTTGAATCAAATACTACTTGCATTACTACATATCCTGATTATACTGCCAATATTATTTATGAATTATATAATAGTTCTACTCTTGGACCTTATGTTAAAGTAATGTATAATGGAACATATGTCAATATTTGTCATGATTAAGCATAAACATGTTCTTATTCTCATTTTAAAAATATTCTCAAAGGAATTAGAAAAGATTACAAAAAGGAATGTAAAATTAAAGATAGATCAATTCCTATAGATTATTAAACTCCATGGTGGGCTATCACATTTTTTATTTTAGTATTAGGTTTATTCATTTGTTCTATTTCAATGGTTGTCATTATACATCAAAAAAAATAAAGATTTGTGAGATAAAATAATAGATATGAAGTTTGATTTAATTTATACATCTTATAATAATAATCATTATTTTGTTTAAAGTAATTTAGAAAAAGCATCCATGCTGTAAGATGACATTTTCTCCTTTTCTGCTTCCAAATCCAATAATTTCTTTTCTAATTCATCCATCAATTCTATTTTATCTCTTTTTGGTTATTTAGATCGATTCATTTGATTTCTTGTATTTAATACATGTTCTTAAATTATGTTTTTTTATCCGATATTTTTATTTGATTCATTTTGTAATTACATTTCTAAATATTCTATTCTTTCTAATGCTTCTTAGTATTTCTTCTCAAGATCATCCTAATCACATTTTTCTTTTGATCTTTACAATTAAGCTTATATATTATCTAACAATTTAATCATTAAATATACAGATTACTTGTTATGCTTTGAACATTTATTATTATGCTGTCTAAATTATTAGATTTAGGCCATTACAATAAAAAGTCCCATTGTTCATAATTTTAGACTACTAATTATTTTTTAGGCACTCTCAATCCCAATTTATTGATTTACAATTCTTCATACATTACTTAATCTAAAGTATGTTAGGCATCTTCCAATAGATATGTCAGCTACTCAATAGTCAATTACTTTAATTGGTTTCTACTCTAATCTTCATATTAACTCACTGGAACCAATTAAAATTATTAGATTCCTTCGTTCAACGGATATTTCTGAATTAACAATTCCAAACTCTATTAATTCTTATATGATTTCTCAAGAATAGAATCACATATCTCAACTTAAATAATCAATGTTATTAATACATATTTCATCTATTAGTTGCTTTTTGGTAGCCATTAAATTTATATATATATAAAATATAATGAAAATTAACACATCTTTCTAATATAAATATCCAAACTAATCAATATTTGTTTTCGCTTTCCATGAAGCCACTTTCTTATTAATTAGGATCTTATTATTATTTATGATCTTGAATTTAATTTTCTTATTAATAATTCTAATTTTATCTTTGTAATTATTGTTTCATTTCTAGAACTTACTGTTCTAAAACTTACTTTTATTATTCTAAATCTTAATATTTTTATTCTAAATCTTAATATTATTTTTAAAGTTTAGTAATCACTTATTCTTTTTATTCTAATTCACTTTCTTATTCCTATATTTTTGCTTCTGACTTTTTTTATAGATCCTCCATTTCTTAATTTTTCTTTACATTTATTTCAATTTCAATATCCTTTTTCATTTCATTACAAACATCAAGTATATCCTTCTCAGCATTTTAAAACTCAATTTCAAATGTATTTTCATAATTTTTATTTTGAATTTCTTACTTTGCTCTCTAATTTTAATTTTAAGAAGGTAATATTTAATTAATAATTTCATTTATGAAATATTATGCATATTATTCTATTAATAAATTTGGAACTGCTTATTGTAATTAAGGTGGTTATTATAACAATAATGGTGTTTATTATTGCAATAAAGTCTGTTATTATTGTAATAATGGTGGCTATTATTGTAATAATGGTGGTTATTATTGGAATAATGATGGTTATTATTTCAATTATTATGGTTATATATTATTATATTATAATTATTATTACTAAACCTTAGGTTAGATATTTTGTTATTTTTGATACATTTAATATTAAGTTTATAAAAGAGGATTATTTTGGGTTTAATTAACTTATTAATTATAGTTCTAATTTTTAGGTGGCTATGCATTTTAGTAATTAGGCTGTTGATTTTCTTAATAATTTAAAAAAGTTTATAATGCATCAAAGATAGATAAACGTTGATTCTAGTTAGGATCCAGCATCTTCTTTATTGCTTCTTTACAATCTTAAGGGATTTATATTTTATCAATTCTTTAAAAGTATTACTCCTTTTAAAATTTAAATTATAAGATTTCTTGCTTTATCCCTTATTCAGATTCAGCTAACATCTAATTTATAATTGATACATTTAATTAATGTTTCACCAGATAGTAATTCATAAAAAACGCAAGCTAAGGCCCAACAATCTACTTTTTCATTATAATCAGTCCGTTATTCAACAAGTTCTGGAGCTTAGTAATAATATGATCCAATCCCTTTAGTTTGTTGTAAATCCTTAGAAGCACCTTTTATTAAGCCAAAATCAATTAATTTAAATTTATTTCCAACTTGAATAAAGTTTTCTGGTTTGATATCTCTATGAAATTTGCCTTTTTGATGTATAAAATATATCGGTCTAAAAAGCTAAAAATTATATTAGTTATTATGTACATCAAAACAAATGGCAAATCTTTCTTAGATTGATAGATTTTTATTGGTTTGAATAAAATCATATAGATTTAACCCACCAAGTTCCATAAGTAATGCATGATAATTTTGATATTTAAATTTTTCAAAAATGGAAATTATTCCTGAAGCATTTATTGGATCTTGGTCAAATTATTGTTAATAACTCATCAAATCCTCAATAAAAAAGTTTTCGGAATCCTTTATATTTAATTAAAGTTTCAAGGCCATGTTTTTAGAATATTAGCAATTGATAGGCTTCACTGTATAAACAGCTCCTTCAGTTCCTCTTCCTAATAATTTGACCATGTGAAATTGTCTCTTTTAATATTGATCAGTGGGAGCTGAGATAATTGAGTTCACTAAATATAGGTGGTTTGAATTCTATTAACTCATTTTCTGAATGAATTAATCTAATTGTTTATAAATTATTTATTATCATGAATGATTTAATTGTTCCAATAATCATAATAATCTTAAGTCTATTTTCAATTATAAGTTGTGGATTTCTAATATATATTTATGGAAGCTTTCGAGAATTAAGGAATGATCAATTTACTATTGTATTACAGATTATTGTATTCAATCTAATATTTGATTTTTTACTATTTGGTGATTCAATTGGATATTTATTTTTGAGAAACACTACTTTTCAGTTGAGTGAGAAACCTGTTATATGTTAGACCTAGTCATTTTTCACTGTCTATAGTATTCTATCTAGTACTTTATGGACTTCAATATTAATTCACAGTTTATTTCATTCCTTAAAAGAGAGTGAAGGAAATCAGTACATGCAGTCATATTATCCAGGATTAGGCTATGGAATACCCTTATTAATATCTATAATGTATGTATTGTTTGTGAAAAAGACCAATTATTATTGATGCATATGGTCAAGATTATCCAATGCCTCAAACAAAATGTTTCTTTGATATCTATAATGATAATGTGGAAGTATATATAATGATATTCTTTAATATCCCTATTTGGATAATGTTTATATATAATCTGATTATAATAATACTAGCAATTAGAATTAATAGCAATTTTAATTCATCTTTGTACTCCATATATATCTATACAGCAATTTTGGCAGTTTGTTTGATAATTGTAAATTATTTTATATATAATTTAGCCTAGTTTAGTGAATATTTTTAAGATAAAATCAATTATATGGAAAACAATTGATCTTAGTTTAGGCAGTTTGATTGGTTTTTTTAATTCTTTTTGGTATTGTTACTAAGCATTAACAGATAGATTAGTTTTCGAAAATGGTTAATTTATTTATCGTATAAAAGAAAATTCTGCAGAATAAGAATTAGCTAAAATTTGATATTTGATACAACTATGATAAATTAAATTATATCAATTTAAAAGAATAATATTTTAAATTGAAATATAGATTATCATATAAATATTTTATTAGATAGAATATATCTATAAAATTAAAAATACATTTAGAAATGTCTATTTATATATAGTATAATTGAGAATTGCAAATATTATTAATATATAAAATAAATATGTAATAAGTGACTCCTGCATATGTAAAATCTTTAACAGGACCTACTGCTAAGTATTATATATATTAATATTTAGTTTTCTATGTCCAATAAATGCAAATATTTACAACATCTAATTTTTGAAATTTAGAATTCGTGATATGGATTCAGGTTAAGTTTTATTTGAAGTAGAAAGAGATCCAGATGAATAACCAATAGGTATAAAATTAATAAAACATAAGAAAATTTACCAGCTGAATATTAAGATGAGGCCAGAAGAATTAAATATTAGTTTGGACCATAGTTTTTTGAATTGAAAACAGTAGGTGCTTAACTAACATTCTCTGTTGGAAAAGATCCTGTTAAAAACTTTACTATTATTGAAAGACATTATTTTAGAGATCATTTATTAAGATGTTATGAATTCTAATTTCCATTTTGTATTCCTAATTCAACTAATACTTGGGAACATATTTATACAATTCCAGAAATTGATGAAGCTATGGTATAATATTATATTAATAAAAAGCGTCAAGAAATGATAGATAATCCATTTGAAACAAAATCTGATAGTTTCTACTTTGTTGGAGATTAATTAGTTATGCATAATAAAGCAGAATATGATTACTCTGAATGAAATAATTATATTGACATTTATGTGTAATATGAATCATTCATTCTTTGCTTTACCTTTCTTTTTTCCTTATTTTTAATCTTTTTATGTATTCTCATTACTCTTTTCTTTTTCTTTTGTCTATTCAACCTTTTATGTTGTTTAAACTTCACTTTTTTAATCTTCCACTTTTGAGTCTTTCTTCTCTTATTATTATTATGGCCAATTATAATAAGCAATAAAACTGAATATACCTGCTTAGTATCCAAATCTAAATATATATATATATATATAAATCATACCTCTCAAGTCTTTCTGATTATATTTAGCCAACTCCATCAAAAAATAGGCTTCCTATTGTTGATACTAAAAATAGTGCATAAACATTTAAACAAATGAATTTCACTTATTCTTACTTAAATATTTATGCAGCCAATAATATTAAATGATATAAACCACATATTCTTAATCCCTAAGTACTATTATTATTTAATTACTAATTCAGTTTAGAGTAATCCTAATAACTAGATGTTGATTAATGATTATTCTTATTCTTAATCTCCCTTTTTAATGAAAGAAGATGGAGTTGCTATTAACAATATCCCCATTGTTGATATATATGCTAGATATCCAATATTATTTAACATTAAATAATTATTTAATTTAATTTATAACTACAATCATATTGATTGTTTCAATATTAGATCAATTTTTATAATATCCTTCATCATCATTACAAACAAATTCTATCTCTTATTCTTTTAATGTTTTAGTATGTGTATTTTTATCCATTTACATATAAAATTCTTAATTATCATCAGTATCAATTCCATCAAATAATCTATCTTAATATTCTTCAATATCTTAATTTAAATCTATATTTGTATTGTACATCTTAACTTTAAACATTTATTTTTTCAATTATATTTTATTATTATTTTTATCTTTAAAAAATAATATAATCCATTCATTTTCATGTTAGTCTATTTCAATTTCCAAAAATAATGGTATAAGATATATTCTATAATCTAATTTGAAATCCATTTATAATTCTAAAGTAATTTAATCCACAGCTTCTTTTAAATACTAATCTATTATTAATGTGTCACTACTATATGGATCAATTTCTTTTCCACAAACACATTTTGGATTGTTATTATATTTAAATATGATTATATGATTTAAATCCTCCTATATTTTACCTGTTAGACATAAAGTACTTTAAATCTATATTGAATTTCTACTTCTGATTTAAAAAACATTTTAATTTTTAATCCCATATTTTATTTCTATTTCATCAATTATATTTTAGTCAAACTATTATCTCATAATTTCATTTTATCTAAATTTCTTCTCTATATATTAACTATTTTTTATAGTAATATCAGATTAATAAATTTCAAATAGATTTATTTATAATTCACTTATTTTTTTTAATTTTAATGCTTAACTAATATTGCTATTTATTTGTTGAAATTTAGAATGAGAATAAAAATAATATTATTCTATACTATCTTCAATTTTACATATACCAAATGAATGCGATTAAGGAAATAGTATTATTTCAAATGTAGCATGATTTTTGTATTAATAATTTAAGATCTCTCTAAGTTTCCACAGTAATAGAATTATATAATATTCATCAGCATCTATTTAACTAATTTCATAATTTGCAGATTATTTGTTATTAATCGTCTCTAGATATGTGTAAAAATCACAAAACATTGGACTTAGTATCAATTTATCCCTACTTAATAATTTAAATGGCATTATTATATTTTATTTTGTGACTTAATCAATTCTAAATTCCAATTTGAAAGCTTTTGGAACTATTATATTTTTCATATTATTCATCATTTTGAGTTGTTTTTCAAATACATATGGTAAAGCATATTGTAAATTTTGTATGATATTATTAATTTTACATGTGAATTGTTAATCACAATCAATTTTTTCATTAAATAAATTAATATAAGACTTACTTTGTTATTCATGGTAAATTATAGACTGCTGAAATTTATTTCCAAATGAGCACTTCATGTTTAGATGTGTCAGTATAGAAAAAAAATGTAATTCTAATAGATTATCCACTTTTGTTATTTTATTAATAAAAATCATTATTAATTCTAATTGTATTAAATTTATGAATTCATCATATTTTAATACGGAGTAGGTGGATACCCTTATGGTGGAAACCCTTATGGTAGATAGCCTTATGGTGGAAACCCTTATGGTGGATAGCCTTATGGTGGAAAGCCTTATGGTGGAAATGGTTACATCTAAAAATTTCCAATAGGTGGTTTAAATTAATATTGTATTTGTGATTATGAATCTAAAATTAAATGAATTATTAATACTGTAATTTGTTAATTATTATATGCCTTATTGTTTTTAAAGAGATGTTATGTCCTATTATATTTTAATATCAAAATTATTTTTAAGTACATCTGACGATTATTATTTCTATTAACTTTAATCTAAATTTTAAATTTCAAATTTAATTTTTTCATAGTTTGATAAATTTTTGTTTTTATCTATTAACTACTATTCTATTTCTTCAATTTAAGAATTAAGTAATGTATTATTTGAAGATAATATTTACTTAATATTTTTAAAGCTATCTAATTAATTCATTAGATTTGAAATTTCATTAGTTATATCTTTAATTAATTTGTCCAAAAATATAATTTCTTTATTAATAGAATTTTATGTACTTTCTTCATCTTTTGATTAATTGAGTTTTTTCTATAATTATTAATTTTCTTATTCCAATTATTGTACTCTATTTCTTAAATTTTTTATTTCATTATCCAAAATCTATCGTTATTAATTAAGTTATTAGGTTTATTAATTATTGATTTATGTTATTTGATAATTCATTTAATTTTATAATTGTTGAGAATGCTATTAATATTCTAAAATTAGTTCTTCATATTTTTCCTTGTCTTATTCCAATTTATTCCTTTCTTACTCAAATTTATTCCTTTCTTACTCAAATTTATTAACTTTTTTTTTTAATGATTCTATATCATCTTAATATTATGTTACATCATTTTCTAATTATTCAATTTTATTTTATAATTTTTTAATAAGTAAATCTTTTTCCCTAATTACTTAATTTAATTCCTATTATTACAGATTGAATTTTTATTCTAATTCAAACTTAATTACATCTTATTAATCATTATTTATTTGAAAATTATTGACTAATCCTTTTGCCATCCCATTATTCTCCTCTTTAGCTATGCAATAATTCACTTACTTTATAGCTTATTCTATTTTAATTCTATCAAATTATTTAGGATGTAGCATTTATTTTAGTAAATTCTTCCATTCATCACATACTCTCAGTCCATCAATCAGTAAATAAACATGCCTTTAGTCTTTTTTATGGTTTTTGATTTATTGAATAGATAATAACATCATAGTACATGGAAATAATTCTTCCTCTTTAATTATTTCATAAAACACACATCCAAGTGCCCATATATCTAAAGATTATGTGTAATTTCCTTCTTCTTCAAATATTTCAGGGGCTTAAAAAATACGAGTACCTTGTTTTGAAGTCATCATCCTATTATTTAAACTCATTAATCCAAAGTCAATCAGTTTAAATTCTTCATTTACTAAAATGAAATTTTCTCCTTTAATATCTCTATGTATCAAACCTTCTTGATGAATGAAATAGATTGCATTAAGTAACTTAAATAAATAAAAAAATAATACTTATTTACAAATTTTAAATTTCTGAAGATTGGTTAGTTTATTTTAATTATCTTTCATATATGTAAAAAGATTCTTACTTCCCACTTCCATCACCTATACAGAGTATTTTTCAAATTAAAAAGAATCATAAATTCTTATAATATTAGTATGTATTTAGGATTTAGATTCCTATCGTTCGATATCATTCTAAATTGATATTAATTTTTGGATGAATTAAAGTTCAGTTTGTTTAATTTAGTTTGATAATTTTAAAGCAACATCGAAATCCTTATTCCAAAATTATGGTTTTGCCAAAAAAACTTATCCTTCTCCTCCTTTTCCTAATTATTTTTTTATCTCGAAACATCTATTAGCAAATTCAGGTGTTGAAGCTTCTATTATAGTTCCTTTTCCCAAGCCCATTAATTATAACATTTTTTAATAGATTTATATTAAATTTATATTGCTATTAGAATTATTTATTAATAATGATCACACTCTCAGAGATTCCTACAATTCTATATATATAAAATAACTGATATCTTTTTGGGATAGAGATAATGAATAATTATTCATATGATTATTTTAACACTATCTAATTTACATATAATTATTCATAAATTTAAGATTCATAATGATTATGAAACCATTAGAACAATTAAACATCAATAAATTGTTTTTTAAGTCTTATTTCTATTAAAAATACTTCTAAAAATATTATATTAATAATGTAATTAAACGATTATAAAATCAACCGTAAACTTTTGAAGTTTACTAACAATGTAAATTTTATTGGAAAAAACAAATACCTTTCAAGAGAATCGAGTGCTAATAAGATAGAGTAATCAATTTATAAGTCTCTGTCATCAAGTTAATTATTAACCAAATCACATAGAGATAATAATCATGTTACTAACAAAATATAAGAAATATCTATAATTGGAAGTATCTACAGTAAGGATTCAGCATATTTTAATAATTTATCTAATGAACAATTAAATATTCCACCTATAAGATCCTTAAACAAAGATGATGGTGATAAATTAATTGCAACTCTTAACAAACAAATTAAGTAATAAAATCTATAAATATCTAAATTAAAATAGCAAATCATTACATAAACTACAGATATTGATAATTTGTCTAAAATAAATCAAAATTTTTTAGAAAAATAATAATCTTATGAACAAATTACATAAAGTTATCATTCCTCAAACTAAAAAAGTATTAAAAATTACTAATTTAGTATAATAAATAGCATAAATAAAAGAAATATAACCTTACACAAATGATTATTTAGAGATTATAACATAATTATATACAGATGATCAAAAACTCTAACTTGCAATTAAACAAAGGAATTAGAACTTAAAACTAAATTTCATTAGAGGTTGGTAAAAAGCTACAAAATTTTTAAAATTATTTAACAACTTTACTTAGAAATTAAAAAAAAATACATTGTAATAATATTATTATTAATGGAAACAATTTTTAATATTGAAATCAAGTCTTTTTTAATTTAATTAGGTTAAAGAATTAAGGATTACAATTTTGTATTGGAAAGTATGGAAAAACCATATATAAACAAAAAAGTAATTTCATAAAAATTGGAATTAAGCCATATTATTTTGCTCTTAAAAATTGTTATTTAAATATTTTAATAGACTGAAACAACTTTATTTGCATAATAATTGTTAATTTACAGATTTCTAAAATTAATAAAAATATGCTGGATAATAATTAGATTTATTACGATAATTTTAAGTATTCAAGTAAATAAAAATATTTAATGTTTTAGTAAATGGAAATATCAAATATTAAAAAGAAAAGTAATTGAAAGCAAGTTAACTAATTATTTAAAATAAAAAAAATAATTGATTACAAAGAAAAACATTTTTAGATTTCTTTAAATAAATTTGAAATTTTATTAACAAAGAAATTAAATCATTATACAAGATAGAATTAAACAGAAATTAATAAAAATGTTTGTTTAAATAAAAGAATATTATAAAAGTATAGCATTCAAATAAAATTAAATACAATTAAATAAACCTTTTTTTATTAAATAATATATTTGGAAAAGATGGTCTTATTAATACAATGTTAAAGTATAATTAATAATGGTAGGGGAAAAAATAAAAGAAAGGACTTAATTCAAAAAAATGAAAAAATGTATTATATACATATATATTTAAGTATTCTATGCATTAAAGGGGAATGCAAGTTACAAGAGATTTTTAAAATAAAATGGCAATATAATAAATTTATAATATAATAGAAGAATTATCAATTAATCTTTAATGATTTGGTTGAGTAATTTATTGAAATAAAAAATTCTTATTGACTAAGAATAAAGTTGTTAAATTTCAAAATTATAAGTCATAAATTAACAATAATAAGTAGAGGTTATTGAATTAAATTAAATTTATTAAAATAAATTACAATAACTCAAAATAAATGAATAAGAAATAAATAACTATTAAATGATATAAGCAAATTAAAATTAGATTAAAGATGAATTACAAGTGCAATAGTATATATTTATTTTATATTTGTGATCATATGCAATAAGAGTTGANAAAACTAAATTTCATTAGAGGTTGGTAAAAAGCTACAAAATTTTTAAAATTATTTAACAACTTTACTTAGAAATTAAAAAAAAATACATTGTAATAATATTATTATTAATGGAAACAATTTTTAATATTGAAATCAAGTCTTTTTTAATTTAATTAGGTTAAAGAATTAAGGATTACAATTTTGTATTGGAAAGTATGGAAAAACCATATATAAACAAAAAAGTAATTTCATAAAAATTGGAATTAAGCCATATTATTTTGCTCTTAAAAATTGTTATTTAAATATTTTAATAGACTGAAACAACTTTATTTGCATAATAATTGTTAATTTACAGATTTCTAAAATTAATAAAAATATGCTGGATAATAATTAGATTTATTACGATAATTTTAAGTATTCAAGTAAATAAAAATATTTAATGTTTTAGTAAATGGAAATATCAAATATTAAAAAGAAAAGTAATTGAAAGCAAGTTAACTAATTATTTAAAATAAAAAAAATAATTGATTACAAAGAAAAACATTTTTAGATTTCTTTAAATAAATTTGAAATTTTATTAACAAAGAAATTAAATCATTATACAAGATAGAATTAAACAGAAATTAATAAAAATGTTTGTTTAAATAAAAGAATATTATAAAAGTATAGCATTCAAATAAAATTAAATACAATTAAATAAACCTTTTTTTATTAAATAATATATTTGGAAAAGATGGTCTTATTAATACAATGTTAAAGTATAATTAATAATGGTAGGGGAAAAAATAAAAGAAAGGACTTAATTCAAAAAAATGAAAAAATGTATTATATACATATATATTTAAGTATTCTATGCATTAAAGGGGAATGCAAGTTACAAGAGATTTTTAAAATAAAATGGCAATATAATAAATTTATAATATAATAGAAGAATTATCAATTAATCTTTAATGATTTGGTTGAGTAATTTATTGAAATAAAAAATTCTTATTGACTAAGAATAAAGTTGTTAAATTTCAAAATTATAAGTCATAAATTAACAATAATAAGTAGAGGTTATTGAATTAAATTAAATTTATTAAAATAAATTACAATAACTCAAAATAAATGAATAAGAAATAAATAACTATTAAATGATATAAGCAAATTAAAATTAGATTAAAGATGAATTACAAGTGCAATAGTATATATTTATTTTATATTTGTGATCATATGCAATAAGAGTTGATATCATATAAATAATTGTTAAACAATTACCCCATAGATTAAGATGAGTTGCAAATATTGAAAGAACAAAATAAATTAATTGAAGAATAAATACAAAAATTTAAATAACCAATTTGTTGTAATATTTAATATTATTATTTATAGAACCAATTGAACTTTTTAACTAAGAATAATAAAAATTAAAATTATAATTAGAAGTTAATAGTTCCATTTTTAATGAATAATAAGAGAAATACATTACCTTATAAAAAGAATATTCTTAAATAGTAATTGATTATGAGAAGAGAATTCGAAATTTAGAAATGCATTACTTAGAATAGAGTAAACAATAGAGAATATAAATATAAAACAGTATGCTTATTGTTTTTATATATATTAAAGTTTTAAAAGATAATCCTTTTTTGGAGGTGTACTCAAGTCGGCGATAGAGTTCTTAACCAGAGTAAATGTCAGAAAACAAATTATTAAGTATGAATAGATTAAATTTTAATACACAAAACTCTCCAGATAAAGATATTTTAGATTAATAGTATTAATATATTAAAATATAGATTAATTTAAGAGGATTCAACAAATAATTTGAGGGAAGATATTAAAAAAAGATTAGCTTATTTAAAATTTTAGATGGATTAACATAGTTGATAATACTTATATATGACTTCACTATTTCTATTTCAAATAAGATATATATAATTATTCTATATATATATATATATATCATTCTTCAAAAAGTTCTGGATGCTATTCTCTAACTTTTCTTGTAATTTCCTAGTCTAATTCTTCAATTGATTAGAGAGGTTATGTTTGTTATTCAATTTAAATTTTGATATCTTCATTTTATTCATCTTCTTCTTTAATAGTAGGCAACGAGTAATCTAAAGTGAATTTTTCTATAAAATCTTAGACTTATTAGTATTCATTTTAAAGATTTTAAACTTTTTGTTAATATTCATGTAAGACCTCTAATTCATTTGATAGATCTTATTCCTTACTCTAATTTAATAAATCATAATTCTATTTTATTGCTATATCTAACTATTTTTTATATTCAGAGAATTCATTTAACATTGAATTACATTATATAGTAGTTAATTCTTAAGCACAATTTGAACTATTTTTTGAAAGCTCATCAAATTATTTCATTTTTTATTTCAAGAATTCACTTGGAGTATATGATGTTTTCTTTTTTATTTATTCAATCAATTATTACATCTTAGGTCTCTCTTCTAAACTATTTCCTTTAGAAACTAATTGTAAGATTTCTGAGTTAACTTCTTATGTTTTTATTTCCAGGATTCTATCTATAGCTTCCTTTCTTAAAATAGGATCTTTTGGTAGCATACAATTCTTATCAAATTCTAGATCAGCATCTTCTACAAATTTAGGATTGAGTTTTTTAATCTTTTTATGTATTTCTATTAACTTTTCTTTAGGAATTTAAAATGGATTTGAATAATTTTTAATTGAATTTTGTTTAAAATTATCAATATCTAATAATAATGAATCCAATCTTAATTAATATTCATTAGGTAATTTACATTTTGCTATTTTTTCTAAATTTTCTTATTACTTTTCAATTTTCTTTTCAATTTATTCAATATATTATTCTTAATTATCTAATTTCTAAAATTTAATGGGAGATTCAGATTCTGATTATTATCCTGTAATTTTAGCCTTAAATTATTCTCTATTACGTAATAATTCTGTAATAAACATAGATCTTTATTTAAGTGATAATTATGAAAATTAGGAATCATTTTCTAATGGTTTATCTAATAGTTATTAAAATCTTTGTATATCAATTTTTGTTTTTTGTTCTAATTCAATTTTTTCTACTTAATCTAATTCAATTGCTAACATTTGAATTTAATTCTCCAATTCTTATTCTTCATTAATTTATTATTTATTTTATGTTCTAGATGTTTATCTACTATCAATAAAGCCTTCAAATTCTTTTAATTATTTTTATCTAGATAATTCTCTTGATTCTACCATTTATTCAACTTAATTCATAATATCCTTGTATTCTTTATTTTATAATTTATATTTAGGTGCTTCATTTTTAACCCATATATCAGAATCAAATTTAATTTCTTATCTTTTCTTATTGACATATTTAGAATTAGAATCAGGTAAATCTTATGAAGATTTAGAAATACTAAATGTTTCAGATTTAACACTCTTATTATCAATTTCATTAGATATTTCTTCTGATTTTTGTGTTGAAACATAACTATGATTATCTTGTTATCTTTTCTCTGATTAAGGTCTTGGAATTGATTCATTGATGGTTCTAACTTTGGATTATTCATAAAATTAATTAAATGGTTTTTTGGTTGAATTACCATTAGAGGTGAAACTGTTAGAAGTTTAAGATTATTTAATTGAAAATGGTTTTGATTATTATTATTATTATTATTATTATTATTACTTTTAGTCTTCAATTAAAGGTGTTGCAACTTTATTATTTGCATCATCATAGATTTTCTTTGTTTCTGGATTTTACATTAATTGTTTCATATAATCAGAAAACATTTTTTATGGTTTTGGAGGTTATTTAGCTGATTGGACAGTTTAAATTTGATTATTAACTTAAGTCAAAGATTGGGTTTATATTTGAGGTAATTGATTTGTGATTGTAAAACTAAGTGTTTACATAGGGATAGCCTTTCCTTTTTTTTAATTCATTAATATATTTAATAATAAATTATTCATTCTAATTTTAATGGCATTTTGACTGATTTTCTTCCAACACTCATTTACAAAAATGATTCTCCTAATTTTGATCTTTTAATCTTATTACATAAATTAAAAGCATATAAATTATATCCTGTAAATGCTGCTGGAAAAAACATACATATTGAGATACTTATTTGTAATTAAGATGCATTTATTATAAACATCCCAACAAACATCAAAAACATAAATAATTACACAAACCAAAATATTCTACTATGAATTCTTTAAATTTCTCCTTTTTCTTAAGTTGATGTTTCAAAAACCCAACTTTCATTTCCAAAATCATTTATTTCAACCCACCAACGTAGTCCAACTAATTTTCCTAATTTATGTATTTTCATACCTTCCACTAATATTTTTGATTATCCAAAAATCAACTGCTCCCAATATAACTATTGCTTCATATAATTTCATTGTTTGATAGTAAGGAGTTAAAAAATAAAGAATGAGAATGATGAATTTTAAGATGAAGCATAATATACATTATATTGGATTTGGAGATTCTGAGATATCTATATTTGCACTTTTAAACAGTTCATAATTTGCAAATGCTAAAGGATTCAAATTCACACTTAATCTTAACCAATTTTATTCTTTTTCATTCCAATATTGTCTTGTATTATCTATTCCACCACCAATAACATTATGTTATTGATTTATTATTGATTCTGCTATACGAGGACCTTGAAATGCTCCTAATTGAGGTGATCTTATCAAATTTAATGGAGGTTATTCTTCCCTTATTTAGTTGATCATAACTGTTAATATAATTATTTTATATTTATTTTTTATAATGAAAATATTAGTAATATAATTTGAGTTACTTTAATCATATACATTTAAAGATTATCAATTTACTATTTGTTTACATTTCCATTTATAAGGAAAAAACCATCTAAATTTGGTTAAATAAATAATTAAAAAAAAATCATATAAATTCTAAAACAATGGATTTATAAGCTCAAGAAACATAAAATCAATATTAAAACATTATAAATGAAGTAATAGGAAAATTAAAGAAAAATTCTGATAAAGGATAATTATAAATGAGTGAATCTGAGATCCAAACTTTTAAAGATGTATTACAATGAATACTTTCTTAGCTATGGTAAAAATGTTTAAAAGCAATATAAGATGGAAATGATAATAGATTTAAATAATATGTCTAACCATAAATTAAATAATAAATAGATAACCTTAAAGAATACGAACCTCCTATAATAAAAAAAAATAAAACTAATGTAGATACTTAAATCATAAAAAAAGTTTTTATATTAACCATCCTTTTATCTTAGGAAGAAGAAGATGATTATGATAAATTAGACCTTGCATTTAGTGATGATTCAGGAGAAGAAACTAGTTCAAAAGAATAGTAAGTAGATAATTAGAAAGTATCTATTTCTGTTATAATTAATAGAAATATTTGGATTATCAAGAAAGTCTAAGAGAGAAAACTTTATTCGATAAAATAAGAGAATTAGAATAATAAAAGAATCTAATTAAAGTAGAAGAGGAAGATGAAAATGAATCTGAAGAACCAAGAATATTTGATACATAAGTCTATGCTTAAAAAATTAATACTGAAAATGCAGTTAATCGTATAAGAGTATTCTTAAAACTTATTATAGCCTAATAAATCTTAAAAAATGAGTTTAGAAAATGTTCTTATAAAGGAAAAAAATAATAAAGAAGCCATTTATCCTTAAGCTCAATTATAATTTAATTTTAAAACTAGTAAGAAAAAAACCTCTTCATGAAAATTGTGTTTTAATTTTTGTAATTTCTTTAATTAAACAATACTTAATATCATTAAAATTACTTTTATTCACATTCCTTTTTCCATCCTTTACAAATACTCATCACACCTTCCATTCCTTCCTCTCCTTTTAATCCAATTTCTAATTTTTACAAGAATTAATTTAATTTTTCATTCTCATCTTTATTCAATTCTTTCTTGTATTCATACAAATAATATTCCTTTCCATCTACTTTTGCTGAACTTACTTAATACTTAATCTCATCTATTTAAAATTCATCATCCTCTTTTTTTATTTGTTAATCCATACTGTTTTTATATTTAATATTAAAATTATATACTTACAAATATTCTAATTTATTATATGAATTAATAATCCATATAGAATATAATTTACTTATTTCTTATCTTATTAATATGAATTTATAGAAGAAAAATCAATATAAATATATTATTTGTCAATTATCTTATAATTATATTGTTATTTAAAAAATAAAAAATGAAAAATTAGAATTTATGTTAAATTTCAATTACGATTAACTATTCTATAATTACATTTAATATCAATATCTAAAGGGAACTTTTTATTTTTGCAAATTGAATTGATATGAGTATATAGAAGAATATAAATATATAAATATCATTTATTTTTATATTAAAATGCATAAAATATATAGATTCTATATCTTATACAACATAAAATATATAAAACAGAGTTAAAGTTTTACAACACTTAATTATAGTATTAATGGAATCATTAACTAATAAGGATATAGAAGAATTATTAATTCATTAATTTTAATAGTTAGATATATTTATTTTTTCTAGTTCCCTAATTTAATAATATATTAGTTTAAAATAAATATTCAGTTAAAAAATGCCAACTGTGCTTATGAATGTAGATTATATGAGAAAAAAGAAAAGAGCATAATCAGCAAAACCAGAAGAAACTATATAAAGAGTGCTTAAATAATTTAGTGTTAGTCCATAGCGATTTCGATTTACAAAATTTAATCATAAAAAATTAGGTGTCATACATCCTATTCCCAGTAAATAAAAAAGAGCCAAAACATAAACATCTATTCCTTAACCTGCAACATATCAATATGGAGATAAAGAATTTATGGAAGTATAAGGAAAAAAGTGTCCAATTATTGATGTAGAACCAGATATCCATTATACTAAAAATGATAAGAAATAACTTGATGAACATTTGGTTCAACCTTTCTTTTATGTGTAAAAATTGTTTCCAAAGGGAGGATAATCAGTTTTAGAACATGATGATGTATTTGTACCATTTCAAACACTTAAATTATCTAAAAGAAAAAGGAAAATGGTTGATGAATAATACATTAAGATATTGAAAGAAATGAAAAAAGAGGAAAGATAAGAATTCTATACTAAAGGAATTGTATAACTATTTAATTATAATTAATTAGAGAATGAATATTGAATATGCAATAATATTTAAAAGATTTATGAAAGGATTGATAAAAAAAGGATTGTTTGATTAGGATTACAAATTTTCAACTGAAAATCCTAAAATACATAAAAAAGAATTAATAAAGAAAGCTTATGAAATGGGTTTGACTATATAAAAGTAAAATTAACCAAATTAATAAATTGAAAATATACCTAATAAGAAAAGATAATCAAAAAAGTAAAAACAATAATATAATTAAATTTATATATCTAAAGAAAACATGATGAAATTTCTTAAATTTTGTTATTATGATGAAAACTTCTTAAAAAGTGATATTGATATATTATTTTTAAATGTTAAAATGGGAGATTCACCTAAAGATATGCTTTTAGTTAAACTTTCAAATATGGATTCATTTCTATTAGATTTGAATGCATTTTTACATAATGCTTAAAAATATTTTAAACTTAAATATAAGATCAAAAATTTATTAAGTGTTAATGCTGCTAAATAAAGAAATGTTTATATTAAATTTTCTCTTTATCCTTTTCTTGGAGAAGGATGGAAAGCTTTTAAAGTTTGCCTTAAACATTTAGAAAATACAGAAAAATAAATACTTTCTAAGACTAAACTTTAATAATATATCGATTTGATATAAGAGAGAAATACTCTAATAAATATTAAAAGAGTTTGGTCAAAGAATTTATAAAGAACACCTTTACAATATATTTTGTTAAAATTTTAAAAGGTTAAAGATATCTATGTTAATGCTATTAATTATAATGCTGAAAGAATTGATTTCTTTAATTAATTTTAAATTGATTTATTTTTATATAAGGAATAAAAAGTTGACTAAATCAATAATTCAAGATTCTTTAGAAATTAAAATTTATCAAGCATATCTTTAGATGTAAGGATAATTACATTAGATGAAGTTGTTGAATTTTTAGTTGAGAAATAATTTAATAAAGAGGAAAGTGATTAAATTGTTGATATATTTTAGAAAATTTTAAAATATTATGGTTTAAGAAAAGCTCCAAGAAAATCTAAATGGTAATTGGCTCCTGAAATAGAACCTAATAAAATTTTAACATAATAATAAATTGTTGAATATTTAAGTTATTATTCTTAAAAGTAATTTGAAGAATGGAAAATATTTAAGACTTTTATTTAAGATTTTCATAAATTTCAAATTAAGAAAATTAATTTACCAGAAGGACGACTTTAACATGTACGTTAAGCTTGGGAATGTAATATTATTGGAGAATGGTTAATTAAATAACTTAGAAAACTTGATAAATAAATATCAATTCTATTATATAAAAGTTTAGAAGTTTGTAAATTAATAGAAAAAGAATTAGAATTAACTGATCTAAATATTTTACAAGCAATGGAATAAGATGGAAAATGTTCCTTTGATAAATTTGTAAATGAAAAAACTTAATAAAATCTATAAAATATTTTAAAATTAGCAGATAAATAATAATAATAATTAAATTCAAAATCAATTAGTATTGATGATTGGGATACTGATTTAACAAAAGCTATTTCTAATTATCAAGTGATTAGTACAAAATTATTCTTAAATTAATAAAAAATCTAAGCTAATTAAAAGGAATCTCCAAAATAATAACTTGCATAAAATTTTCAGAAAGATCAAATTGTTTCTGCAGCTAACTTTATAGATGATAGATCAATAATTCATGATTAGTAGTAAATCTAAGTATTACCCTAAACATCATAATAAGCATAATAAAGTATCAAAAGTCCAAAAATAGAATAATAAAATACTACATTATTAACTGTTCCTGCAAAAACATCTTCATAAAATAATCTGACAAAACCAGGAGTCACTCATGATACAATTTCAAGATCTAATTTATCCTCAAATACTTAATTGACTGAAGCAGAACTTGATATGAAAATATAAAATGCTATGAGATTACAAAACAGAATATTTAGTGAACTAGGAAAGTAAATATTATAATGTATGTTAGTATTAAAGATATCTCTTTTAGAAGTCATAGGTGAAATACTTAAAAATATTATATATTTATTATATAAATAATCATTTTATTTTTCATTTTAGTTGTATAATAATAATTATTTAAAAAAGATTATAAATATAAATTAATATGAATTAATAATGTTATATAACATAATTAAGAAAATTAAGAGGATATATATATTAAGTCAATCATAAATACATTATAAACATAATTATTAAATACAACATGAAAATTTGATCACTTTTGAATAGTTTTTGATGAAGATACTGATTAAGTTCTTTCTGATTTTATATCTTTATGCAATCTTTAAATTTATTCAACAGTTAATAGATCAGGCTTCTTTCTTTATTCTTCTAAGACCTAAAATATAATTTAATATAATTACTTATCTTTCTATTTTTTCGAATTCCTTTCTAGTTTCTATATTTTTTATTGTTTTTGGATTGAAATATTCTGGACACATTTCATATAGCCATTTTCCTTCTATATCAGTTACTGTTCTTAAATAATTTTTTGAAGTCAACACAAATTCTTAATATAATATCCATTCTGGTTTATGATTTAAAACAGAACATGGATGTATTGCAACTATTTAACTATCTTTGACTGTCATATAAGCTCCATTTTTAGTTAGATGAGCTGTTTACATAAACATACCAGCAATTAAAGCTTTTTTTATATAAGTATAATATAATGCATTTGATGGATCAGTTTTAGTTAATGGAACTTATTATTTTTACATAATTTATCTTAATTAAGTTTTGATTTTATCTGCTGATTTTAAACTTCTATAATTAATGAAATTTTAATAACACCAATCAGAACTTTCATTATGTTCTTTAAATGCTTTAAAAACATTTAAAAATGTTATATGATCTCCATCTTAATGTACAAATTAATATCTAGCATCATCAGCTTATTATTATTAATCTTTTGGTCTTTAGAATACTTATTATACAGATAACAAAGCAACAATAGTTAATATTTCATCAGTAACATAGAAATCTTTACTACTTAGAAGTACTTTTGATAATTATGGATCAAGTGGAAATTCTGACATCTATTATCCAAATTTAGTTAAATTTCCTTCTTCATCTAATGCATTTAAATAATATAATTATTCTAAAGCTCTCATTAATGTTTCTGGAGCAGGTGGATCCATAAAATCAAAATGAACTAAATCATCTATTCCTAATCTCTTTAATTACAAAACAACTGATGATAAATTACTTCTTAATATTTCTGGATAAGTATTATCAATTAATTCTGTATTAAATGATTATTCAGTATATAATCTATAACATTTTCCAGGTCTTGTTCTACCAGCTCTACCTGCTCTTTATTAAGCAGAAGCCTTTGAAATAGGAGAAGCTAGTAATGATTCTACTCTTAATCTTGGATTATAAACTTTTTATTTAGAAAATCCAGGATCTACAACATAACATATTCCATCTATAGTAATAGATGTTTCAGCAATATTAGTTGCAACAACAATCTTTCTACCTTGAATTCCTTTTTTATTTGGTTATGGAGCAGGTTCAAATATCTTTTATTACTAATTTGGTGGTAATGTACTATATAGAGGTACACATCTAACTGGTCCAACATCATCTCCCAATTTCTATATTTCTGAAGTAATCTTTTTACATGCTTCTTCAATTTCCTATAGAAATTAATAGAATTAGATTATATACTTCTTCTCCTGTTAAAAATACTAAAATATCTCCTGGATCTTCGTATGCATGAATATTAATNGAACATGGATGTATTGCAACTATTTAACTATCTTTGACTGTCATATAAGCTCCATTTTTAGTTAGATGAGCTGTTTACATAAACATACCAGCAATTAAAGCTTTTTTTATATAAGTATAATATAATGCATTTGATGGATCAGTTTTAGTTAATGGAACTTATTATTTTTACATAATTTATCTTAATTAAGTTTTGATTTTATCTGCTGATTTTAAACTTCTATAATTAATGAAATTTTAATAACACCAATCAGAACTTTCATTATGTTCTTTAAATGCTTTAAAAACATTTAAAAATGTTATATGATCTCCATCTTAATGTACAAATTAATATCTAGCATCATCAGCTTATTATTATTAATCTTTTGGTCTTTAGAATACTTATTATACAGATAACAAAGCAACAATAGTTAATATTTCATCAGTAACATAGAAATCTTTACTACTTAGAAGTACTTTTGATAATTATGGATCAAGTGGAAATTCTGACATCTATTATCCAAATTTAGTTAGATTTCCTTCTTCATCTAATGCATTTAAATAATATAATTATTCTAAAGCTCTCATTAATGTTTCTGGAGCAGGTGGATCCATAAAATCAAAATGAACTAAATCATCTATTCCTAATCTCTTCAATTACAAAACAACTGATGATAAATTACTTCTTAATATTTCTGGATAAGTATTATCAATTAATTCTGTATTAAATGATTATTCAGTATATAATCTATAACATTTTCCAGGTCTTGTTCTACCAGCTCTACCTGCTCTTTATTAAGCAGAAGCCTTTGAAATAGGAGAAGCAAGTAATGATTCTACTCTTAATCTTGGATTATAAACTTTTTATTTAGAAAATCCAGGATCTACAACATAACATATTCCATCTATAGTAATAGATGTTTCAGCAATATTAGTTGCAACAACAATCTTTCTACCTTGAATTCCTTTTTTATTTGGTTATGGAGCAGATTCAAATATTTTTTATTACTAATTTGGTGGTAATGTACTATATAAAGGTACACATCTAACTGGTCCAACATCATCTCCCAATTTCTATATTTCTGAAGTAATCTTTTTACATGCTTCTTCAATTTCCTATAGAAATTAATAGAATTTGATTATTTACTTCTTCTCCTGTTAGAAATACTAAAATATCTCCTGGATCTTCGTATGCATGTATATTAATTGTAGTACTTATTGCTGCATCAAGATAGCTTTTTTCTGGTTTTTAGGTATAGAATATTTCTACAGGATATACTCTTCCTGGAATATCCAAAAGTGGAGCATTATGAAAATATTTTTAAAACTTTTCTGCATCCATAGTTGCAGACATAATTACTACTTTTAGATCATCAGGTCTTTTTAACATGATTTCTTTCAAAAGTCCAAATAATATATCTGTATTAAGAGTTCTTTCATGAGCTTCATCTAAAATAACAACTGAATATCTTTCTAATTTTGGATCATGCATAGCTCTAATTAATAAATTAATGAATTAATAATACTCTCTTAAAAGCATACCATCTGTCATATATTTTAAGATAGTTTTATTTGATGTTTTCTCTTCAAATCTAATTGAATAACCAACTTCTTCTCCAAGTGCTACATCCATCTCTTCTGCTACTCTTTTTGCTACACTCATAGCAGCCACTCTTCTAGGTTATGTACATGCAATTCCTCTTCCTTTACTATATTTTTCAAGTAAAAATTGTGGTATTTAAGTTGTTTTACCACTTCCAGTTTCTCCTTACAAAACTATCACTTGATATTGCTCCATTAACATAAACAATTATTCCTTAGCTATTAAGAATCATATAACAATTTTACCATCCCAAGCAGGTAACTACTTTCTAACAGTTAAAATTTTATAATAATCATCTGAATATTAATTTCCTGTATAAGGATTTATGTTAGCATTTTACTTTACTTTTTTTTTCTAGAGTTATTCTTAAATTATAACTTTTACTTACCTATTTCACTAATATCAATTTTCTATTGCTTTTATTTAGTGGTCCCTAAATTCTTATCCACAAACATTATTTAATAAAAATTAATAATTTATAATCCTTTTAGTTTTAAGTATTTTTGTTATATAAAACAATCAATTTACTTCAAAAAAAATAATAAATTCTAAATAGAAGTAATATAGAATTATATCATTATAAATACATAAAGTTAATCATTCTCCATTAATTTCTATATGAGCTACTTTTTGTTATTATTATTTTTCTATTATTTTTTATAAGGAACTTTGAGTACCTCTTAATTTTCTAAGTTTTATTTATATTAATAATACTTTCTTATTTTTAAGTTGTCTAATTTTATTTCATCTAATTCATGAATAAGACCAGAAACAAATAAAAGTGATTCACTTCTTGGATTTGGACTGAAATAAGTATGAGTTTTAGATAATGTAGTTTTAGTACTTCTAAGTGGAGATGATTGCATTGTAAATTATTTACCAAAAGCAGTTAATCCAGCAACATCTGGTAGACTTGAAGCCCATTTCTTAATAATATCTTTTCTTAATTTTTTTTCAGCATCTTTTGTTTCCAATTTCTTTTTATACTCAAATTCTGTTTTTGAAGTAAATTTATAAGAAGGAGGAACTTCTTTCTTTTCTTCTTATTCTTAATCCCATTCCCAATGTGCATACCTTCTAAGAACTCTTTTGGAAGGTTCTAAACTTTTTTAAGATTATATAATTACTGAGCTTATTTAAGAAATTTATAAAGATCGAACTTTGGTATTAACTCAGTTATTTACATAGATCCTATTCTTGTTCTTGTACATATTCCTTTCAAGACAGGACCTAGTTTCTTATCGTCTATCAATTCTTATTATCGAAATGCAAATTTAGCAAATGTAACTTTACGATCTTGAAGTGTTGATTTCAATTCGTTAAATTCTTAAACATTTTTTTTAATATGTGAAAGTTAAACAAATTTTTAAGCAGATTTTTCATCATTACTTGTTTTGCCTTCAATCACATCTTTTAAACGATATTTACTCTAAGATTAACAAAGTGTATACCTTTTTAATTTTTTACATATATTATATTTAATATAAATTGTTATAATCATATTATTGCAATCATTATTATGTGGAGCATAAGTATAATATTATAGGATTCTGTAATAATTTATTAAGATGCTAATTTTTCTAAGTATTTAGCAAGTGATTTACAAGGTTTACAAATTTATGCTGCTTCATCAAAAGTATGAGCTGTCATTTTGTCACAGTCTTCCTTTCTTATATCTGCAGATAATGTTGAATTGCATTATGAATTCTTTAAAGAACAAATATGAACATTGCCAAATGAATCAATATGTTCTTTTGAACAAAGATCTGTTGTAATTGTAGAACAATTTAAATTTACACAATTATTATCCTTCCATTAACAACCATGAGTCTTACATAAATTCTTATTTTTAATATTTCTATTTTCACATGCTCCAAAAAATCTTGTAGATGTCATACATACATCACCTACCCAATAACAATAAGCAATAGGTTAAAATAAAGAAGGGAGTTCATTAATAAATAAATTATTGCATTCATCTTCAGTTGTAATATCACTACAAGTAGAAACTGATCTACATCCTTTAGAAGTTTTATTATATCCACAAAAATTAACTTTACATACACGTCTTGCATAAGATGGACTTATTTTTGATACATCTAATTCTTCACATGATGAAATTGGTTCACATGTTTCAGTTTATATTCCTTATGGATAACAAGAAGTTCTATTAGTTGAATAAAATTAACTTGGAGCAACACATTCAGCAACCTAAATTAAGATAAACTTTATTTAATACTTTATTTCCTCTTTCAGAACAACCTTTAACTCTACATTTCTTAGTTCCAATTTAATTTTCATCCCATAAACATTTATGTTATTCACAACTATCTTAATTATCATGTTCCTAACAATCACAACTATATGGATAATCTAATTCTGCTTTTAAAACAAACATTAAAAGAACTTATATCAATAAATTCATTATTATTATTATTATTTATATAAATTTAATATATATATATATACAATATACATTATTCATAATTATTAATGTATTCATATTACTACAAATATATATAATAATAAATTCATATTTATTAGAAATACTCATTCTAATAATTATATTTGAAATTCTTATTTATATTATTATAATGTAATTAAATTACGAAATACTTCAAGAAATTTATTAGAGTAAAAAAGTGAGAATAGAGAAAGTAAGATCAATGCAAGATAACCAGACTTATATATAAAAAACTTATCTATAAAATAAAAATGAAGGTATGGTTTATAATGATTGTGAGGATTGAATGCAATTAAAATGTTAGCTCAAATTAAGAATCAATTTGTATTGTAAGTAATTGAATATCTTGAAAATGAAGAACAATAATTAGTTATAATATAAGAATATTGTGATTAAGGTGATCTTAAAACTTTTACTTTACAACACATCGGTTACAAAATGTAAGAAAGCATAATTTGGTCACTCTTTTTATAAATGGCATATGCTCTCTTATAATTAAATGAACTTGGTATATAACACAGAGTATTAATTCCTGAGAATATTTTACTATTAGTAAGAACTGAAGGATATTAAATTAGAATTACAGATTTCCATAAATCTTCTAGATAAACTCTTTGTTAATTACCTTGTGCTGCTATTTATTTACCATATGAATATTTTTTTGAAGGACATTATACTTAAAAATCACATATTTGGTAAATTGGTCATATCCTTTATTTTATGGTTTCATAAAAATTACTATTCCCAACAACAACTCTAGAAAATCAAGTTAAAGAATAATTAAGAAGAGGTCGAATATAAATTAATATACCTGATATATATTCTCCAGGATTAATAAAACTTATTAATGTCTGTTTGACAATAAGAGAAAATTAAAGACCAAATATTTTATAAATTTTAAGAATGAAAGAAGTTAAAGATGCTTTGACAAGACCATATTATGAATTTTCATTAGATTAAAGGAGACATCTTATGTATTGGATTAATAGTTCAGAAACTGCTATATCAAATCCAGTTTAATTTATATTTAATGAATTTGATTTACATTCTCCTAGATAAATTCAAAGAGATGTAGTAGTCAAAAAGAATTTCAAAAATACTAAATTACCTGAAATATTTTAATAAAATTAAAATGCTAAAAAATCATCTACTGATAGACTTCCAGAATCAGATTATATTAGAACAGAAACTAAAAGAAAGGAGGATTTGTATTTACAATAGTAATTGTTATCAAAAACTTATACAAATAAGTATTTCTAAGGTGTTGTTAAACCTATAAGTTTTCATAAAAAAAAATAAATTAATAATAATACTGAATTACCAAAATTTTCTATTCCTTATTAAAAACAATTAGATCCTGTATTTCAAAATCTTTTAGAAAATAAAAAATAATTATGTGATCGATGGATTGGAGAATCTGAATATATGTTTTTAAGATCATAAATTAAATTTAATGTAATATTTCATAATAAAAAAATAGAAAACTGATAAATTACTTAATTATTTGTAAACAAGGCATCCAAGAGTTGATAGTAGTGTTATATTGTAATAAATCAATGATATTGCAGATTTAGAAGAATAAAGAAGTTTTTATAAAAAATTATGATATTTATTTATTTAACAATAGAAATTACATAAGCTTATTTATTATTTTATTACTATCTATAGTAAATTTGAACATAATAATAATAAAATGTAATCATTAAATATGTATATAAACTATAATATATATAATTACAATCATGTGGTCAATTAAATTAGGATATAATCTAAGAAATTATTTATATAGAAAAAATTAAAATAAAATTAAATTTTAATTAGATGTTCAAATTTCTTCTTAGGCCCTCATTATTGTTTTCCAAAAGAACAACTAAATTAAAGCATTTAATATAATCAAAAGAATTAGAGTTTATAATGGAAGCTCACAATGGACTTTCAGCTCTTATTGTATAAGAAGCAGGATTTAAAGGCATTTGGGCTTCAGGATTATCAATGTCTGCTTAATTAGGAGTTAGAGATTGTAATGAAGCTTCATGGACTTAATTGTTGGAAGTATTAGAATTTATGGCAGAAAGAACTACTATTCCAATATTAATGGATGGTGATACCGGTTTTGGAAATTACAATAATGCAAGAAGATTAGTTAGAAAATTAGAAGAGAGAGGAATTGCTGGAGTTTGTTTTGAAGATAAGATCTTTCCTAAAAGAAACTCTTTAGGAGATGGGGCCTAAGAATTGGCAAATATTTAGGAATTTTCAAATAAGATCAAGGTTATGAAAACACTAATTTTAGGCATGCAAAGATTATTAAAGAGATAAAGACTTTTAAATAGTGGCTAGATGTGAATCATTTATTGCTGGATGGGGTTTAGAAAATGCTTTAGAGAGATGTGAAGCTTATAGAAAGGCAGGAGTTGATGCTATATTGATTCATAGTAAGAAATCTGATTTTACAGAAATTGAATAATTTTTAAAAGCATGGAATAATAGATTACCAGTTGTAATAGTTCCTACCAATTATTACAAGACACCAACAGATGAATTTAGAAAACATAGTAAGATTATAGAAATGATTAATAGATGTAAGTTTAGCAATTTGGGCAAATCATAATTTAAGAGCATGTATCAAAGCCATGTAAGATACAAGTAAATAAATATTTGAGAGATAAAATTTAATTGGATTAGATAACATAGCAAGTGTTAAAGAAGTATTTAGATTGTAAAATGAATAAGGATTAGAAGAGGATGACAAGAAATATTTATGAAATAGTATTATTAATAAATGTTCTAATATAAAAGTTGTATTAATATATTAATATAATTTAATTTTAATAAAAATGGGATATTAAGCTTATTAACCTCCAATAGATACAAAACATTATAGTAATTTAGCAATTGTATTAACTTTTATTGGATTCTGCTTCCTATCATATTTTGTTATGTATTATATATAATAAATAATATAGTTATCAAATTACATAGAATAAATCATAAAGATCATTGACAAAAGAATTATCTGTTGGATTATTTGCTTCATTATTTTTATCATCTGGAACATTATTTAGTTTTCTAGCATTAGGATTGTATTTTTGAATGAATATTTTATATACAATCTAATATGTATTATGTTTATTATAGATATTTGTTATAATATTCTAAGAATATTTACTTTTTATATTATCTATGTTAGTTTATATTTAAATCATTTATTTATTATATTTATTAGTCATTCTAAGTTGTAATATTAATGAAAATATATATATTTTAACTTAACTTTTAAGAGATATAATTTTATGAATAAACTTAGAAATTAAATAAATTATAAATTTGATTGATATCATACTCAAACAGATTGTATTAAATTACTTAACAACTCTTATTACTATTATGTTAATAATTATTAAATTGGTAATTATTATTATACAATTGGATTACTATAATAAGTTTTGAATGATGCACTAAATAATTTATCTTCATCATTTAATAATTTATCATTATTCTATTTTATTTATATATAAAATGATTACATTTCTAGCAATAACAGGTTTCAAAGGTTAGAATCCAGAACTTGATGTTACTTCTCTATCTGTTACTCTTCCCATAAATTTTAAAGGATTTCTTTTTTTAAGTGTAATATTTTCAACCATTGCTTAAAAGACTAGATTCCATGATTGTTAACTTAAAAATCTAATATTATTAAATGAATAATTTACGATCCAGAAAATAATATAGCAGACAACATAGTAAATATTAATTTTCTTTCATTCCTTTAAGAAATAGATTTTATAATTCCTAATTCATTTATTAAAAAACTCTCAAGTAATTGAGGAGAGATCTTAGAACATTCATTTACAAGCACTTCAACTCCATAAGATGTAAAAACATGTGCTAATAATAGAAATACTTCCTTATTTATTAATCTTTAACTCAAATGGGTTGCTTTTGATTTTGAGGATATTTAAGGTTAAGATTATTATTATATTTTGTATTATTCAAAAATGATTGCCAAAACTATGTTTGTCCATTGCTAATTAGATTTTATGAGGAATTTAGATAATTCTGTATATGATGGTGTACTATGAGAAACAATTGATTTTAAGATAGCCTATAATTAAGTTGTAGGTAAATTAGTTCCTTAGAATCCAAATTAGAAAAATATTATATAAGCTTGAAACAATGAGGAATTTGATTCATTCCAATTTTAAATTTCAAGGAAATTTTATAATAAATTTTGATAATATGAGGATGCATTTGTTTAAACTTATAAAAAGAGTGAATAAATTTATAAGACAAAATTAGTAACATCTCCCTTATTTTCTCTAAGTAATTCATCTAATTGATTTAATATACTCTATTATAACTAATTGGCAGCTTCAGAATTCTTTGCTATAATACAAACATCAACTACACTAGCTATTATCTCAAAAACCAAATGGACATTCTAAAACTCATATTCTAATTTAATATTTTTAAGTAAATCTTAGAGTAAATTACATAATGCAGCTATTGCATTAAAAATCTCTTATTTCAATAAAGTAATCAATGAATTAGTAAGTTTCAAACTATATGTTTCTAATTTCTATTATTATTTAATATTATTATAACAATCAGTCAAAATTAATTGTAAATATTGTGAAATATTAACATTTTCAAAATATAACTAATGATTAGCATAATTCTTGACATCCTATCTTACATTAATTAATGAATATGCTGTATAACTAGCTATATTTGATAAAGTAATTTTTTTGCTTAATTATAATTTAGAAACTAAAGTAGCTAAAGTTGGTAATTCAACTTTATCAATTACATTTCTGAAATAAAATAAGTATCTACAATAGAATGCTAATTATATTGGTGTGAATTTTTATTCAACTGATTAATTTTATTATTGTAATTCAAATATTTATCCTAATTTAGGTTTTAAACAATGAGTATAAAATCCAAGAACATTTTCTTATGATAAAATAATATCAATAGTTCCATCTTTTGATGTAAATGAACTTGTACTGGCTTCAATAATTAAATTAATAAGAATTATTTCATTATCTATTCCATTCATTCCTGATTAAATATAAGCCTATCTAATTTATTTTATATATAAATTTATACAAATATTCTTAAATTATGATATTCACTTATTAATTAAAGTGTTTAGTCACTGTCTTAAATAATTCAACTGCTTATGCTCTTCTAGATTCTAAATCACTTTATTCAAAAAACTTCTCTATAAATTCTTATGGTTCATCTTAAAACATTCCTATCTCATCCTCTAAAATAAATTATTAATAAATCTATATTACTAGATAAAGATAAATTTCTAATAATTAAACTCTCTATTAAAATCTTTATATTCTATTCAAAGAAGGTCTTCATGTCTTACCAAGCTATTAAGGTCTTGAAGTATCTAAGTGCACATAATACAATCTAAAACTTTATTTGATTAAAGTAACCTTGTCACTATCTCTTCCAGCACTAGTCTAGGTGCATACATTCCATATTTCACTTGAAAACACTTGGATCAAGTCACCAAAATCATCACGATACTTCATTGCATATAATAAAACACATCTAAGAGCTTCACCTTTACATTTGAATAAGAATTATTCTACTCCTTATACTGGTTAGAGTCTTAGAACTACTTTCATAAATTCCATCCATGATTGAAGATTGTCTTCAAAATGTGGATGTAAATCCTAAATTATTGAATTATTATTTTAAATTACTTAAAAATTTAAATTGTAAAACACTTTTAGTAATGTCTTCAGAATTTCATATGATAATTTCAGATTTTGAAGGGCTTCTATTTATTGTATCAATGATTTAGCTAACAATAACAAATTGTGATGGATTGTGTCGCATGTTATAATGATTTCTTCATATAAAGGATCACTTCTTGATTGATAAACATATTTTTCAGTCAATTTGTATATGAGTTTCAAGGTTTTGTATACATAATCTGGATGGGTTAAGAATTGATTTAAATCAGCCATAAGTGTAGGCCATTAAGTAGGAAAATCTCTTGAAGCAACATAAACAATTGCATCTTTCAATTGATGAATTAATGGTGCTTCAGAGACTATATAAGCACTTATTATGTGTTGCTTGATTGTTTACACTACATTTTGAACATATTAAGCTTAGTAATCATCAAAATTACGATATTCTTTGAACCATAATTTTAATTCAATTGCCGCTCGAAGCCCTAGACTAATTTCATAAGCTTAGAAATAATCGAATAAAACTTTAGGATATTGTATATCACCTCTTATTTGTTATAACAATTGCTCTCCTTATCTTATTTTATCGTTTGTGCCCATATTAATGAGTTAAAATGCTGTGTTCAAGTCATTCACTATATTTGAAGTGACAATCATAAATTTTAAATTAAAATATTTTCATTTAAGCAATTATAGGGCATGGTATTTAAAATGATTAACACAAGGAATCCCATAAATTATCAAAATAAGAAATGATAGAATGCCTATAGATATCAAAATCAGAATTCCTTGAATAAATCAATCTAGAATGTTCTGGTTGTATTTCAGCCCTTAAAGATTTTATTACCATAAACAGAAAAGACAAATATATTACCATAAATTAAGATATATCCTTAAATGATGATTTGATCAATTCTTAAAAGATATCCAAGACTCTTGAAAAACTATAAAGTTATGGAGAATCAATAAAATCTATAATATCTAGCATTTTTAAAAAGCCAGCTTCACAAAACAATAAAAAGAGATGTTAATTACATTCTTTGAAATAAGTCCCAGAAATAAATATCTAGGAACATGTTCATTACATATGTAATGAAATTGTGGAAGATAATGAAAATTGTATTATCTAAGATAAAGAATTTGATTATCATTTATAAGTAATCACAAATTAATTGGATTTAGAATTACTTGAAAACCAAAAAATTCTGTCCATCTTGCAAAGAAAATATTTAGGCGGCTTTAAAGCATTTTAAATTATAAATCCCTTAACCTGACTGTGCATGCAGTATTATTTGTTTTATTAAATATGATTATTAGAAATGTGAAATTCAAATTCCATATGATGTATATATTATATTTTATTATTAGGCAATCTTATTAAATGCATTATTAAATAAGGCACAAATTCAACCATTTTACTAACATGCTTCAACAAAAGAGGATGCTTAAGAGGAATTGCTTATATGTTTTGGACTTTTAATTAAAGAGAAATTAACATCTCTATATAGAGAAAGATAAAGTTTATAAATCATAAAATATACTTTCTATTAGTAAATTGGAGAAATATTTAAAAGGAGATTAGAAAATTATGATAAGATGAAGGGAGAATACTAAATTTAATTAGAAGAGTTGGAATAATATTTAAAGAAAGAAGATGAATAAAAAGATAAATAAAGAAAAAAGAGATAATTAAAGAAAAAAAAGAGAAAGGAATAATAATTAAGTTCTGATGGATCTGTTCGTACAAATTATATGTAAGAATCTTCAAGAAGATCAATATCACCTTCAAATAGTGAGAAAAATTTATTAAAGTCTTTTGGATGGTAGGGAAGTCCATCAGTATCTCCATAAACAAGAAAGGAATTAGAATTCTTGTAAAAAGAACATTTACAAGAGATAAATAATAGAAGAAAATAATTAAGAGAATAAACTAAATAATGTTGGTGTGAATGGTGTCACCATCATAAATAAAAATGATAATGATGATTTACATATTTATAAATGCAATTTTAATATTCAATTTTCTTTTAATTTAGTAATATTCATAAATTATTATATGTTTAACATAAATTTGTTAAATTTTTCATAATACCATTATATCTTAAGACTATGATCTTATTGTTCTTACATATTTTCTAATTATATAATCAATTAATCATATTCCTTTTACATATATATTTACATTCTTTTAAAATATTTTACTTAATCTTTCTATGTCTAAAAATCTTATTTTTATAAATATTCCTTTGATAATTTTCTAGAAATTCTCAATATATTTGTGTGAATTAAATAGTATCTATTAACAATTTAATTGAAAAATTACTTTTATAATAATAATAGTTGGAAAATAAAAAATAAAATGTTAGAATATTCATTAATTAAGTATTATCATTACCCGCATTCGAATTTGAATTCACAATTTTTTATTTCTGTTCCATCCTTATTCGTAGCTGTAGCATAAATACAAGTATTTCCAAATAGAAGTGTAACCTTAACAGTTTTATCTTCAACAGATTAAAGTGGTTTTCCAATATCAATACATAATTCCCCTAATTATTAAACTCCTTATTCATCAACAAATTCTACTTCTCTCTTCTCAGTTACATAAAAGATTATTCTCATTATAGTTTATCTTGATCTAACTGGACAATATATTTTAGTATGTACTTCATCACAACTAATGAATTATATTTATATATTATATATACCCAACAGCATCTCCTTTTCTAACAAAAGCATCAAATACATCTTCACTAAATTCCTCTCCTTCTATAATTACTTTCTTTTTTATTGGATGTCTCTCTGCATCAAAGGTTGTTAAAGTATTAATTCCATAAGTCTTTTTAGCTATTCTACTTGTAATAGATCTTGGACTTAAACCAAATAGACATGCTCCTCTAATTACAGATACTTAAGGACGTCTTGGAACTAAGATTTAAATTGCATTATTCTCAAATCTTTTAATGATTTCTGATTTCAAAAATGGAGATTCACTAAATCCTCCTACCATAAAAATGAAATTAACTTTTTCCTTTTTTTATTCAACTTATTATAATAGTTGAGCAACTTTATTTTTGATGTTTTCAAATAAAGTTTAAAAGAAAGATGCCATTAAAGCTGATGGAATTTCTACATTAGAAAGACCTTTTAATTTAACTTAATATTCTGCAGCATGTTTTGAATTGTGTTCTTTAACTAATTGTGTTAATTTAGCAGTATTTAATTCTTCACCCAAATATGAGAATTTAATCATACATCTTTCATCTTTATTCCCTTTAAATTTTCTTTTTAAAATTTCAAAATCTCTCAAAATATCTAATCTAGCTATTGCATTTTATAAATAACATCTAAATAATTTATCTCCTAGAAATTCTTTTAAAAATTCTTCAAAATATAAATCAACATATTTTGAACCCCATTCACATCCTCCTGAAGAAGGAATCAATTCATTACATAAGAATTTCTCATTAGGTTCACATAATAATTTATGAACTGTAATATCAACTGTACCACCTCCACAATCAAGTACCATAACTACAGAACTCTTTGCCATTTATTCTTTTAATGTTTATTCAGCATCTTCTCTACATTATATTGATGCTCCTTCAGGTTCTAAACACAATAATAAATTAGGAGAATTTAGATTTTCAACTATTCCTGCTTCTACAGCTGCTTTTCTCATAAATTATTTATGTTCTTCACTCCATAATGCAGGAACTGTTAATACCCATCTTATTTTAGTAGATATGACCTTTCCTACTTATTCCTTTAATTTTTATATTGCTTTATTGCTTATATATTTAAGTGTTTCTTTAATTAATAACATTAAAGGTAATTCTCTATTGTCAAGTGATTTTGCATGATTATGCATATGATATAAATGCATTTTATACTAATAATTTTAATAGTTAAACTACATTTTAAAATAGATAAGCTGTATCACCATCATCTAAAATACTGGCATATTTTTATAGAGCTTATGATCCAAATTCAATAAATTAACCATTATTATCAAATAGAATGGCTGTAGGTGTTTTTTAATCATCTGAATCATCACAAGGGTTAAATACTTCAATTCTTGGTTTTCCTTCCTTATCTAAAACTTTTGGAGCTAATCCAAATCTACATTAATTAAATTTATACCCTGATGCTCCAGTCCCAAAATCTATAGCAATTACATGTGTGAATGCTGTATCATCCTTTAATAAGGCCATTATTATTAACTGCTTTGTTTATTTAAATTTAAAATATAAATATACTTTTTAACAGCATAATTTAAATATGAAGAATAATTATGTCAAAGAAAATTTCTAAAGACCTCTTGACTATTTGGATGGGACATAAGATGAATTGAGAGGAAAAATTAAGATCTTAATGAATAAATTATAAATAACAAAGAAAGAAAAAGAGATATTAACAAAGGAGAATCAAAATCTATAATAAGAAATATTATAAATGTAATCTAATCTTAGATGTATGGTTTCTGGATTTGCAAATACAAGCATTACATTTCCTATGGCAAATGAATTAAGTAATTCAATAGCAGAATTTTACAAATGTGAATGTTTTGATATTTTTTTTGATGTTTTAAGTCAAGAATTAAACATGAAGGGAATTATTTATTTTTTCTAAACTTCAATGTATCGAATAGATAAAATAATTAATGATTATTTTACACCCTTATTCAAAAATATTAAAGATGTAATTTATTTAATATATTTAAAAGGTTGGTTGTTTAATTACAATTGATGGACCTATTATAAATGTATTGAGAAAGTCATTTTAAAGTAATTACAAATAAATTTATGAAAAATGCATGCTTAATTTAAGTAATGTAACTATAGAATTGTAAAAAAGTTTAAAGTTAAACAATTAAGATATAATTGAATCATTTTTAAGTAAATAGTAAAATTTTATATTGTTAGATAAATTATCAGAAATAATGTTTAATTGTTATATAAGTGATCCAAATTTATAGTTTGATATATAATCAATAGGATAAAGACAATAATTTAATTAAGGTAAGAATGATCCTATTGATGGATTTATCAAAAATAAAGAAGAATGTATTATTTTAATGCCAGGAGTATATAAAAATTAGGAATAAATGGCAAAGTCTTTAGTATTATCATATTCCTATTAATTAGAAAATAACTGATATTTATATAAATAAGATATAGATAGATTTTATATTATAATATAAACTATTTTTAAAATAAATAATTAATCAATAAGAGGATAATCTCATTTTCTTTTAATAATTTTTATCTCTCATTTTAATTAATTCATATAATAACCACCATGGACATAAAAAATCAGAATCAAAATAAGCAGTTAAAAGTAAATAAGCATTTTCCATATTGTAAATTAATACAAATATTCTTCTCTCTGAATAGTATGTTTTGCAATGTATCCATATAAATGTAAGATAAAGCATATTGAAGATGAGTACTGAAATCAATTATTTAATAGGGAAATAAAAAAATGCCCACATAAAACATGGAACAATAATTGCAATCATATAATTATAATAGAATACTTTAAAATCCAATATATTGTTAATGTTTATAACTTAACTATTTTTAAGTTATTCTTCTTATTTTAATTCATTAAGAATAGGTTAATTTTTATTTGTGATTTCACTCTTCTACCCTTTAGATTTAACTTAGTCTTATTCTCCTTCTAAACTATTTTCACTTGCTTCTTCCTCTTATTCCTAACTATCATTTTCCAATTATTTTAGATCTTCTTCTTGTCTACTCATTAATAAATCCCAATCCTTATCTACTTATGGTTCATTCATGAATTCTTCATTTAATTAGAATGGATTCTTCATTTAATTAATTTCCATATATGTATGATAAGCTTATTACAATACTTTAAATCTAATGTAGATAATTAAAGAAATAGTCATTAAGTTGAGTAACAAAAACTTAGATATATCAAAATATTCGCTTATGAATAAATAGACAAAAACTCTTGCGAAACTTCCAAAAGTAAATATTAATATATTTATAGGAAATCGTTTAGAAGTATTTGGTGATAAATTAATCTAAAACGAATCAACTACAAGGATACTATTTTTATTAATCAATTACCTCCATGAAAATACATATATTAAAGGACTTTCAGTAATGAATGTTTTAGGTATTATCAAATAAAACATATGTATGACAAAAAAATACATCATTTGCATAAAGAAGAATATTTGTTAACATCTTGTGGTTATTTATAATTCTGGACATATGAGAGTTTCAATAGAATCAAACATTTTCAAATCATATTTAATAGGTCTAATTGCCAAATTACCCTTATATTCTATAGTTTCTCGAAAATCTGGAGTATCATAAGAATTTAACATTATTAATTATATTATATTTTTTTTTAACGGAATGAATAAAGAAAATAATAATACTTCTCTTACTTAGAATTAAAATGGTAGAAAAACAATGAAAATAAATTCAAATGAGATGGACTAATTTGTTGATTCAAGAATTGTTCAATTATAAAAATAATTATTAGAAAAAGACTTAGAAATTGAAAATTTATCTAAACTTAATCAAGATCCAAAAAATTAGAATTCAAATAAATATCGATTAATGGAAATAAAACAATAAACTCTATAAACTGAAAACTAATAATTGAAAACACAATTATAATAATATGAATCTTTAAATAAAACACAATAAAGAAAATGTGAATAATATTAAATATAGATTGAATAATTATCATCTGTATTTGAAGAAACTTAAAAACAATTAGAATAAGAAAGATAAGAGAAATACAATATATAATTTTAATAATCATCAAATCATATGGATGTTCAATAAGAGAAGATATTAATTAAAACTTAATTAGACAATCTTAGAAAAGAGAAAAGTTAATTAATATTAAAAGTAAAAGAATTAGAAAATTCATTATAATTGCATGAATAAAATACTAATTCAAATTGTTCAGAACTCTCTTCATTAAAATAATAATTATAATAGTAAATTTAAAAAACATCTGAATATTTAGAAAAAAATCAAGCTTTAGAGATTAAAAATACTTTATTGGAAGCATAAACTAAATCAAATCATTCTTAAAATGATGAATTGAGAAATTTAAGATCATAAGTTATTTAATTATAAAAAGATAAGAATTCTTTACTTGAAATATAATAAGAATTAGAAACTAAATTAAGATTATAAACTGAACATGTTTTAAAATTATAAAATTTATTAAATGACAAAACGAAATAATTGAATAAATATTAAGAAAAATTAAATTAAATTGAATCAATAGAAGAAGATAATTCAATATTATAATAAGATTTAGAAAAGATAACAAATTCATTAGAAGAAATATAATTAGAAAATTAAAGAATTGTAAGATTTTAATAATAAAAAATTGATTCATTAAAAAAAGAACTATAATAAACAGAATTTATAAGAGAAGACAATAATAAAAAATAAGAAGAAATTGCATAATTAAAATATTAGATAGAAAAGAAAAAAGGAGAACAAGAAAAAGATAAAGAATAATTATAAGAAGTAATATTATTATTTTTTATACAATTTAGTTATCATTATTAAAAGAAGCTTAAAAATAATGGACATTAGAAAAAGATAATTACTAAAAGAAAATTAGTTTATTAACTGATGAACTTGATAAAATTGCTAAATAATAATATGATTAATTGAGAATTTAAGTAGAAACATAAATTTAAATGAAATTTTCAACAGAAAAAGTATAATTAGAAAATCATATATGGTAATTAAGTTCATAAATAAATGACTTATAAGCATAAATAGAATAATACACTAATAAATTTAGTTAATTAAATATAGAAAATGATTAATTAAGGGAATAACTTAATGAAAAACAAATTACTTAAAAAACTGTCATTGTTTTAGAAGGTTAGCTTAGAAATACATGTACAGAACTTGAAAAATTAAAAAATATGTTTACTTAAAGAAATCAAGAATTAGATCTAGCTAGAAATAAGATATTAGCTTTAGAAGGTTGTGCAGGTTATGCTTAAGAATTAGAAAAGAAAGTACAAACTTTAATGTAAGATAATCAGAGATTAAATTCAATTATTATGGACAGATGCAAAAATAATTGGTGAATAGTGTTTATAAAATATTTTATATAATTCACTTTTAATTAAATAATTGTTGTTACTTTAATCTTAAGACAAATCTCGGTAGATATAAAGACTTTTTTTAAAATACTAATACGGGATTTTAATATTCAGAGGCATTTAGAAAGCTAAATCCAGTTGAATTTTATAAGGACACAATCGAAGCTTTAAGAGGAACTTAATTTTTATGATTAATATCACGATATGACTTGGCTTATGGTTTTATTGATTATTTCAAAGTTATTTATGGAATCTTTTTAGGTATTCTTTAAGTTTTTGGTTGTTTAATTTAAGATCTTGCTTCTGTTTTCAATCTAAACTCATTTTAATATCTTAATGGAGTACGAAAGCTTATTGTATTTTATCGTGATTAGATTTCATTATCCTCTTTTTTTGGTCTAACTGGAATAGTTCGCTTCAATAATTATCTAATTTCTTATTCATAATCATCATCATATTATGGTTATTCATCGTAACAAACATTCAAAAGAGTTTCAATAGCATTTCTTTCAATTAATTAATTATGCATAATAATTTATGTGAAATCAAATCGTCTATAAATTAAAGTTAATTAATCTGTCTATAAACTTCAAAAAAATAGTTTCAATCATAATATAGGTTATATGTTGAATTTTTGAAGATATCAAATAAATAAAATTCATAATAAAAATGACAGATTATATTCTATCATAAATTATCCATAATTTATGTTGTAATCTCATTAAATTTAGTATAATAGAAAAATATAATCTAGAATATGAGTATTCAATACTATAATGTAAAAATTATTTTCTAAAAATAGATATGAAAATGATTAAAAATTATATAGAATATTCATATTTTAGCATTAAGCTATGAAATTAGTCTTTGATTTCAGCATAATACTTTATTAACTTTTATCTTTTATAAATTTAAGATATTTGGCATCTGGAGTGAAAGTCAAAATTGGAACATAAAATAACAATTATTTTTATTTATTAAATACTAATAATTTATTCCTTTTAATATACCAATTAAATTAACAGCCTTAACTTTCCAAACTATTTCTACAAATTATTTTTTTTCATTCATACAAGTTTTTATTTTTATTATTCTAATAATATGATAAAGAATTAATAAGTTGTTTTTTTGTATAGAGTGTTTTGCCCCAAAATTATCCCTAACCTTTTTAACTAAGTTTTTTAAGACTCTTTAGTCAGTCATAATTAAATCACCTATTTAGCCATCTTTTGTTTGAACAATAATAATTATATTAGACATTATCATAAACTTAAATTCTAACTTATTTATTTTTTGATAAATCTTTCTGCTAAATCCTTAATATATGTTAATTGAATTAAACATTATCAATTTAACTTTTAATGAGAATTGTTTTTTAGTCCTAATTATTAAAATAGTTATTTAATGTACTTTTTTGAGAATTGAGATATTCTATTTACTCTTGATGATTTAGATTTATCAATAATTAAAATAATGAAATACTTTTTTGATTGTAATATTGTAATAAGTGTGGTTTATTTTTGGATTTGAAAATTTGAATCGTTAATTAATAAATTATTGAGAGAATGCTTAGTAAAATAATATATTGTTGAAGATGATCTCTAATTTATGTGGTTCAAATAGTAATTGAGAATAGACTTTTTTAGGATTGATTATTGATTTTAAAGGAACTATAAGGGAGAAAAAGATGTTTTTAAGAAACATTGAGGAAAAAAGACTTGTAAAACAATTATGAAGGGTTTGGTATGACAGGAAGATCATATGATCTAGAGTTAACATTATGATTAGTTATCATTATATATTTGTTTAATTTGAGTTATTACCCAATCCGAATTCCTTCAATTATTCATTTAATTCAGCTTCCTATGAAAATTAGATAGACATTCATACTTATTCTAACAATTATTCATATTATCCTAACTTGGTTATAAAATCATTGATTGCTTATTATTTAACTTGCAAATTCTATTTTAATTTCACCATATAATCAGCTACAACAACTTGATTCTAATCTAATGAATTCAATAGTATCATATCCTAGTGAAATATTATTTAAATATATTTACTGATTTACATATCTCTACCATCACATCAATATGATCTCTATGGAATACTATTATTTCATCTTCTTCTTATAAAACCTTGCTCACTAATTCTTAATGTTATTGGGATAATAATTAATTTCTCTATTCCTATATTTCCTACTCTGGATCTACTTCTTCCAATAAGAGATTGTCTCCATCCTCACCTTGAAAATCGTCATTTACAAATGGATCTTGTTGTTATTAATTTAAATTATTATCCAAGTAATGTGGCATAAAATTATTTGGTTATTGAGATAAAGGATTTATTCCAGTAGGATTCATTCCAGGAATTAATGGTTGTTGTTATTTTTAATAAAATTGATTATTATTACCATATGCTTATTAAGGGTATTACTGAAACAATTATTATTAAGGGAATTGATTTTGTTATTATTGAAACAATAATGGATTTTATTAAACTACATTTTATTTCTGTAGATTGCTATACATCTATGGTTAATATTGTTACGGTTAGGGTTAAGGATTTATGAATTACTAAAGATTTGGTTATTATGGCTATTAATAAATATTAGGTTATTATGGAGGCATCATTGGTTATTACATGAAAAATTGTTGGTTTGGCAATTATGTTTGGGATGATGATTATTATTATTATTATTGTTGATTTGGTTAAGCACTTTTGGATTTTGGAAGATTTGGAGGTTATTGTTATTATGGTTATTATTTAGCATAAGGATTAGTAAATTATTAATTATATTATTATTATTATTGTAATGTTTATTATGAATTAGCTGATAATGTTCTTGGATGTTATTAAGATTATGTTTAAGGTGGTAGCTATTATTATTATTGTTATTATTGTTATTATTATTATTATTATTGAGTATATTAAAATTATTATTATTAGTATTATTATGAAGATGTCATGTTATTATGATACTTCTAATTGTTCATTTATGTCAAACCACCTTAAGATCCTTATGGTCCACTATACAAATCATCTCCTTCCTCATCTTCAGAATCAGGATTTCTATATTCTCGACGGATTACGTTGGTATCTAAAGTAATAAAAATGAAATAAAACCTGTTCTAGCTAACATCAATTCTCTATTGAGTGCATCTCCACCAGTTTTCTATTCTTATGGTTTCTTTAATTCTTTAACTCTATCTGCATATCTCAATGTATTTAATGTATGTTCACTATTAGCACTACTTGGTGAAATATTACCAATCATGACAGTTCTACAATTACCTATCAAACTATCTTTAAGCACAAGTGTAAGTTTACTGCCTCTAAATGGAGTGTGATTCTTATTAAGATCTAAAGCTCGAATACACTCTTTCAAAGCTAAAAGTGATTTATTAATTTCTGCTCCATCAACTCTAGTAGTTTTATCTTGATCTCTAACATCAGCTCCTCTTTCACTACCAGCTAAATCAATAAAGGAGAGTTTTCCATGAACTAATTTACCTTGCTTTAAATTAATTTAAAGTAATGCATGAGATCGTGAAGACTCAGAATTAGCAGAGTTTTAAGAAGTCACTCTAGAGTTCTATCCATGTTGTATGATTTGCATAAGTTGTTGAACATTTTGAATTTTTTTTTCTGTTAATCCTTTGATTTAAACATTACCCTTGGCATCCTCTTATGCAGCCAATTAAGTTCTATCATTTAAGAGATCAAATAATTTTCCACAATAAATTTCATAAAAGGAAATGGTCACATATAAATTACCATATTCAGGCTAATTGAATAATAATGATGTAAATTACTCTTTATAATATGCTGAATAGGTCATAACTAGCCATCAAATATAGTCCTGGCACATTAGCTTCAGGGTCACCAAGCATTGTGAATGTTTTACCACTACCTGTTTATCCATATGCAAAACAAGTGCATTTTGCTTTGTTAAAGGCTGCTTCAATTATTGGACGTACTGCAGTTGCATAAACTCCTTCATTATTTACACTCTCATCAAATGCTAAGTCGAAATTGAAGTGATGTTATTCAACATACTTGGTCAGATCAACTTTCTACCTAAAAAAGAGAAAGTATATTGAATTTCAAAATGCATACTTGATCTCGCTCAACAATACTGTAGCTTAATCTTTTACTTGCACAATATCTTAATCACCACGCGCAAGCTCTTTCTTTCCTAATGGTCTCTTTCTGATTACGACTGTTATTTTAGGTCCCTCCATTAATTAATGTAAATACAAAAAGATCTCAAATCAAGAATACAAGAAATACTCCAAAAACACAATATTAAATAAGTAGATTTGGCAAGAGAAATAGGTATCCATCATAGTACTCTCTCTCTCTGGATGCAAAATAAAAATAAACCACGAAAATAGGATATCTCTAATTCTCAAAGTACAAGAATAGAAGAATTATTGGAAAGATGGATAGCTACTTTTCATGCAAATAAAGGTTAAGGAATGGGTACTGGATAATTTAGATTACCTGATAGTAGAGCATCTCAATTTAGTATTTATCATTCAAATACCAAATATTAGTGTCCCATCACACAGTCAGACCTGTTTTGCCAATATCTAAATTTCATATTCTTAGAAATCAATATTAAAATTCAATCAAATAATAAAGACAAGAAATCATATTGCGTAAGACTTAAGAACAATTGAAAAACAATTCCATTATTACATTACAATAAGCATTAAATCAATCTGTAATACAATCACTTATAACTAAATAAGGCATAAGATATTCCTATTGAACCACCAAAACATCAATAATTAGTTCCAATTACTATTGATTTTGAATTAGATGGCAAAAAAATATATTAAACTTTTTGTTGGAATCTAAATGAATCACATATGATTCCTGAAACATTTGCTAGAATAATTACTGAAGAAAATTAATTACCTTCAGTAATTGAATAAGAAATTTGTACTCAAATCAAGAAACAAGTTTAAAGTTATAAATGTTATTATCCAACCAAAAATGAAATGTTAAAGAATCTTCATGTAGATTTAAGAGTTGAAAATATTCATTTCAAAGATTAATTAGAATGGGATATGAACAATACTATGAATTCACCAGAAGCATTAGCAGAATTAACAGCAAAAGAAATGGGAATGTCTGAATAATATGAACCTAGAATAGCTCATGCTCTTAGAGAATCCATCTCTTCTTTATAAAGGTAAATGGAACCAAAAACTGGTGAAGATTTTAGCAATTTAAAGAAGAGTACTAGAACTTTAATAGAAAGTAATGCCAATTTTAATCAATTCAAAAATGTCATGTTTTCAAATTAAATCAATGATAAAAATTGGGTTAGATGTGATTTAGAATATGATCATCCATTTTAATGGGGTCCTTCAATTGAACTTCTTGATTAAAATGCTCTAAGAAATGTATAAAAATAAGAAGATCGTAAAACCAGATATGTAAGGAGATAAAGATGATTAGTAATTATATATTTATTCATTTATTTTTTAATATAAAAATAATAAAACTGATGGAAGAAGGAAATCAAAAGCAAAATCTATCCTTTTAGATAGCATAATTAGAAGAAGAGTACAATAATTATATAGAGTAAAATGCCATTTAATTTTAGCTCTTCTGAGGTTGTTATGGAATACTATAAAAATCAGTAAACAAGTGGATTGGATAAACATTTTCTTAAAATAGAAGAATGGTTGGATTAGGATGTTGTAATATACTTAATTTATTTAAAATAGAAAGGTAAATAAAATCTTCCATTGGTCATTGAGGCAGAAGATGGTGTAGGCAAAAAGACATTACTTGTTAAATGGATTGGATATCATAATGCAAATAAAAAAGGAAGATATTAGGATATTATTATTCCACATTTTGCTATGGTTGGAGGAAACAATAGTAATTATTTTTATGCCATATATCGAATATTGGTTAAATTAAGGGAATTACTTAATATAGGATAGAAGGTAGAGTTATTGGAAGAGAAACTTAGGAAATATTTTGCATATTGGTTAGATGTTTGTAATTCTTATATTGAAAATTAAATTCTTAAAGAAGCTAAAACTCTTTATAATAGAATCATCCTTATTTTTGAGGGTGTTAATCATTTTGTTGATTAAGGCAATGGTATAACAAAAGAAGCTAATGTTTCTTTTTGGTTACCTTAATTCTTTCCTCCAAGAATTAAAGTTATTTTGACAGCATCTAAAAATTCAGGAGCTATGTAATATCTATAGAAAATAAATTCTCAAGTTATATCAATAAAAGTTGAACCAAAAATTATTGAGAAAATGATAGAAACACACAAAAAAAGAAAAACATTTCTTGTAATTAATCTATATTAATATATTATAGTCAGATACACTTAAAGATAAATTATTATTTATTCTAACTTAAACTAAATGTGAAATGAGTTCTATATTTTGTAAAACATTTTTATCTCTTCTTATACCATATCCAAGTGTTGGTATCATTGGAGAAAATGATGTTAGACCAGAAGTAATTGAATCTTTAGTTTCTTAAATTGATATGTCAAAATTATAAGAAGTTTCAAGTTTAGAGGATTTAGTGAATTTTATTTTGGATCATTATCAAACAAAAATGTTTAAAGATTAAGAAAAATTTATAAAAATACTTTTATGCTTTACAATAACATAAAAAGGATTGATGATTTAGGAGGCATTAACAATTTGTCAATTAACTGAGAATGATTGGAAGATATTTTTAGTATTTTTTAAAGTGTATCTTATGCATTA